GAATAAAACAAAAAGCTATCCAAGGAAACTCTTTGATTTTCAACGGTTCTTGAAACTAATAATTTGATGTTGTTCATGACAATATTCCTAAGGTCTAGTAAAGTCAAAATCAGAAAATAAGTAAAATAAAGAGGATACATGAACTCTGATCAAGATTTGATCTATACCACACACAGTGCGGGAAAACAGTGAGTACCATCAAGTGAAAAGAAAAAAAAGTGTAAATCCCTGTAAAAGTCAGTAACAATCAAATAAATGTTTTTTTAATGTTGCATTCTATAAATAAACTGGTCAAAACTTCTTCAGGGAAATTAATAAAACAAAGAAAAGCGGAATATAAATGAGAAGTTAGATCTTGTTCAAACATGTTTGACGATGAATAGTCATCAGAACGAAATTCAGAGATGATTGATTAGACAAAGATTCTAAATGCAAGGTGTGATGCAAACTTCAACTGATTAGTATATATACACACATACAACGTTGATTGAAGAACACTAGGCAGTCAGTCAGTCGCTAATGTTGTTATGCGTCTAGTCCTTTTTTGGTGTTGGGGTGCAGACTGGATTCTGTCGTCAGTCAAGTTTGCAATGTGGCTGACATGCTGTGGTGTGTGGCACTAATAAGATTTATCAGTAGTTCATTTACATGTCTGTCTGTCCGCCTGGATTCAACATAGAACTTGGCCTCGAAGCGCAGCAGTTCCAGTTACCACGTACACAAAGGTAGACAAGAAGATGAGTGAAGAGAATCAATAGAGTTTTGACAAGTATAAGAGTGAAACAGAATGAGTAATGGTAGAAAGGAATATGAAAGATTACAGAGACTGAATACATCTACATAAGCCATTGACAACGATTTTGAGCCATGTCACCTATTGTCTCCAGCCACCATTGATTCTTAGAGTCCCCAGGGGGCGGGCGCCAACCCGGAAGTCTCCATCTCCCCCCCCTACCTGACTCAGTTTAACTGTCAGGGATTTCATGGATTGATGAGGCCATGTGTTTGTTTGGCCACCACTTACTCTTTTCCAACCTGCACCTATGTCAGCTAGTGATGCCCGTTGGCGGAGGTGGTGGTTAGGTATGCGCAGCACGTGACCTAGCCATCTCAATCTATGTAACTTTATAGCCTCTTCGATTGATTTTCCCTCTTTGCCCAACACTCTACGCCTTATTATGCCACCTAACGTGAGAAAGAGATCGTACACAACTATGATCAAAAACAGTCAACCTTTTCATGTCTTCAACTCGTATTGGCCATGTTTCAGAGCCATAGAGAAAGACGGAGCGAACCGCTGAGCAGTACACATGTCCCTTGGTTGATAGCCGGATGTCACGCCTACGCCGGAGATGGTGTAAGTTAGCGAAAGCAGCTCGAGCTTTTTGGATCCGTGCTGAGATTTCGTCACCAATCAATCCATTGGTGCTGATACAACTTCCCAAATAGGTGAAGTGGTCAACACGTTCTATCACTTCACTCCCTATCACTAAGCTAGGAGTTGACGTAGTCCAGTCAGTCCTGTAGCAGCCTGTTGCATTTTATAGGGGTGAATCGCATACCAAACATACGAAGATTGCAGCTCAAGGTGTTCAGCATCCTCCCCTAACAGGTCTATCAAACGGGGGGAATCGAGGTATCCAATACCTACAAATGAGGAATGAATGATAAAGCACATCCTCTGGTCAAACCACTGACTTTCCAAGTGGCGATTTGCATGCGTTTAATCGGTTTCAGGTTATATCACAAACTGGTATCGTGTAGGGAACCATTGGAAACCAGGGAGGGATGTACAACTGCTTCCTCCTAGCTGGAGTATCTTCAACACTACTCGCCCTTCATGGCAACGAAAGACTGATAACTGCTTCATTGTGAATACGTCAATCGGGTTTTAGGCGTTTGATAGCTGATATTAGACAGTTGGAAACAATCGGCAGGGGATTCTTGGACCCAGGTTTCGTGCTAGTTGGCACTCACTAGTCAGCAGGGCGTATCTGCAACCTTGAAGGAACTGATGTCCCTTCTGAGATTCGAACCTGAGTCACCCAGTGAGTGCTGCAGTCAGAGACGTTACCACTGAGCTATTCAGACTCGCGATTGACCTCCTGTAGGACTGTATTGGATATTTTTGACTGCGCACTAGTCAGTAACTAGTGTAATGTGTCTAGTCCTATCTTCGCTGCAGACTGAATTCTATCAGTCAGGTTTACAATATGGCCATTATGCCACTAGGTGGCCTGCAACCATCTGATACCAACAATTCACAGTACACCGTAATGGCGAGCCACCTAGCATGGTGGCCACATTGCAAACATGACTGATAGAATTCAGTCTGCACCGAAGATAGGACTAGACACATTACACTAGTTACTGACTAGTGTGCAATAAAAAATGCCTATGTGAGTTTGCGTTTCAGTTTGTTAATCGGATATCACACACACACACACACACCAAGTTTATATATATCTCTGAGATTTAAAAATGTCACCGATATATTGATGAAGACAACTCGGTTTAGATGACGGAAAGGAATAACGACAACAATAATAATTAGGACTCTTCATTTCTTAATCTGAAATAGACTACTGAGAAACATATGGACAATCATCAACGCTAAGTATATATCGTATACAGACAAGGCATTGTCTGAAAACCCCACTTCCTTTATCTATCTGTCTGTCCAGCTGTCTGTCTACTGAATAAAGATGGAAAACAGAAAGAGCAACCGAAAACAACATGCAGATAGAGATAAATAAATGAAGAGAGTGTCTGGAAATTTCCCTTGAACTAATTGTTAGAACACACACACACACACACACGCACACCATAGGGAATAAATGAGCTAGCTAGTTATCCTCGAATTTATCTTTTTTGTCATGTATGTAATCTATGCTACTTACAAGTAGTAAAATTGTAACGATGAAAAATAAAAAACATCGTGTCGTTACAATTGGTTAAGATGACCACCAATAGACAACTATCTATTGTCCAATTAAGACGTCGACAAAACATGTAGAGTGGATACAATACACGCTCAGGGGAGACCGTTGAATGAAGTCATCATCAAAATCATCATCACACACCAGGCCAGAGGCTCGAGTGGAACACGAATGGGAAATTGACAAGTTGCGCATAGCTCTGAGCGGTGCATACAGGAGATGACATTTTATCGACAATCGTAGAGCAGAAAACGCAATGAAATTGACATGGGCTGTTGAAGCCCTACATTCCCATAGGAACACAAGCGAATAGCAATGAAATCCACAAAAGTCAGTTTAAGCCAGCCAGCTAGCCAGCCAGTCACGTAGTGAGGTGCAGACTTACTGACTTACTTACCGGTTGGGGTCCTCAGGATGGTAAAAACCGATGGGGGCTGGAGACAATTGATGGTGATATGGCTGAAAATCGTTCTCATTGATAGCTGGTGCAGATACATTCACTCTTTGTCATTCGTGATATGCTATAAAACTATTCTTTTTCCCCCATTAACACTTCTGTTTGTAATCTCCCCCTTTTTGAATTTTTCTTTACTCTATTCTCTTGCTTTGTGTGCTACACGGAGTAGGGAGTGTGGCAACTCGAACTGCTGCACATCTGTGCAAAGTTCTTATGTTGAAACCAGTCAGTGAGTTAGTCATTTAAGATGCTTTGAACTCGGTGTGGAGATCCAAATTTTTAACATACTGTTTGGTGTATCACAAAAAAGAAGGCATCTCCAACCAGCTACAGAATCTCATCAACGACAACAACGACTGCCTTCGCCTAACAATGAATAACCAGGCGGGAAGGAGGGTAAGTAACAAAAAAAAGTGTGGCAGAGATCACCCAATAAATATGCAGAATGTGAAATAGAAATGTGGATATGCTGAGACCTGAGGAGATCTTCACAAGTCTGCCTGTTTTCGACATAGAACTTTGCACATATGTGCGGCAGTTCAAGTCACCACACTCCATGTAGCACACAAAGTAAGAGAAGAAATGCATAATATAGACAGTAAACAGAGGTGTGAGACAAAGGTATAGTCATAACGAAGAACAAAACAGTTTCATTGGAAATCATAAATCACAAGGAGTGGATGCATCTGCGCCCATCCATTGAGAACGATTTTGAGTCATATCACCAATTTTCTCCAGCCGCCATTGGTTTTCGCCGTCCCAAGGACCCCAACCAGGAAGTCTACACTTCCCTACGTGGCCTAGACTAACTGTTGTGGATTTCATTGACTGGTGCCACGTTTTCGTTTGACCGCCGCTAGCTCCTTTCCAGCCTCACCCTATATCAGCTAACATTGCCTTTCGGTCGAGGAAGGCGATGACTAGGCATACGTAACACATGTCCTAACCATCTCAGTCGATGTAATTTCACAGTCTTGTCGATTGATTTCCCCTCCTTACCTAGCACTCGACCGATGCCTAACCTCAATATTGCTCACCTCATTATACCATTTCACACGGGAGATAGAACGCAGACACCTATGATCAAAGACAGCTAATCTTTTCATGTCTTCCACTCTCAATGGCCAGGTCTGACAGCCATAACGGAGGACGGAGTGGACTGCTGAGCAGTACACCTGCCCTTTGGTCGATAGCCGGATATCACGTCAACTAAGCCAGAGACGGCGTAAACTGGCATATGCGAAACTAGCCCTCTGTATCGGTGCTGAGATTTCGTCAGAGATCAACCCGTTGGTGCTGGCTGATTGTTATTCCCAAATAAGTGAATTAGTCAACGTGCTCTACCACTTCACTTCCTATTTCTAATCTAACCTTCACAAGTAACACAACACACCACACACATCAGGCTTTTAAGTGGAACTATAAATAAGAAAGCAACGAGTTGGGGTATATGTGTGTCCCGGGGTGATAAGTCGTGCATGCGACTGAAATTGATGACAGACGACCGAGTGCAATGGAGGCCCTATATTCCAGTCGGAATGCCAGAAATGAATAAATCGATAAATAAATAATAATGACAATAATATCTTTCCAAGCAGACTTACACGAGTGTCTTCATCAATATAAGTAGGAAATTTATCTTGTTGAGAACGAAAATCTAACACTCCACCATGATAATCATCGCCATCGCCATCGCCTTCTTCGACATTACTTCCCCTGGTGAACTGGTTCCAATCATTGATTTGTTGAGAATCATCATTATCATCATCATAACCATGGTTACTGTGATCATCATTGTCATGTCGATCAATATTGTCTTCCTCATCCTCTTCTTCTTCCTCCTCAACTGTATGCTCACTTGTCGGAGAGCTTGCTTCACTTAGATTATGTCCAGTTTGTCTGAGAGAATTATTGTCGGCAGCAGCAACAATAGTTCGGCTAATCGCCTCTTGACTATTCCAATCATAAAATGAAGAATTCTCATCAAGAACATTACCTTCTTCTGTATAGTCTATTGGTAAAGAAGAAGAATAAAAATAGAAAAAAATAAAAGTTGCGTTTATTGGAGCTCTGCATCATCGCATCATAGTCTGTGTCTAGGCGTTCTTGACTACCAATTCGAACGCATAACCACCTGGAGGGTGGTTATGCGTTCGAATTCTGCTTCGCGGAGTAACTAAGTAGCACTGTTTAACCCCCAAACAAAGAAAGTCACCAAAGAAGGGCGACTTAGGACTCTGCAAGAACTGGCGAGAAATCATGCTCCTGTCAACGCCAAGTAAAGTTCTGAGTCGCATCATCCTACTCGAGTACTACGGCGTACCCCAAATATTCATCAACCTTATTCAACAGCTGTACGACAACGGCACATGTCAAGTGATCCACAACGGAAAACTCAGCGAGGCGTTTGGAGTAAACACAGGAGTCAGACAAGGGTGCTTATTATCACCAATGATATTCCTAATTGTGGTGGACTGGATTATGCGTCAGACAGTGGGAAACGAGAAGAGAGGGATATCCTGGACCGACGTGAAGAACCTAGAAGACCTGGATTTCGCGCGTGGATGATTTATGTTTGATGTCACACTAAATCGAAGACTTACAAGCTAAACAAGACAAACTGGTCGAAGAAGCAGCAAAGACAGGACTACTCCAGGTGAACATAGACAAGACGGAGGTTATGAAAATAACCATTCAACAACAGCAGCAGCAGCAACATCCAGCGCTAACCACCATCAACGGGAGGGATTTGAAAGAGGTTACTTCATTCACTTATCTAGGGAGCGTTGTCTCAACTACAGGAGGAATGGACAAAGATGTCAAATCGAGAATCCGAAAGGCGAGAAACACATTCATCAACCTGAAACCAATCTGGAAATCTTCGTCACTCAACTCAGCATCAACAACAAAATTCGGATTTTCAATATACAAACGTCAAGTCAGTTCTTCTATACGGATCAGAAACTTGGCGGACCTTTATCAACAACTGTCTTCGCTCTATACTACTGAAGATTAGATGGCCGGAAAGAATCACCAACAAGAAACTATGGGAACAAACAAACAAACAAAACAAGAACCAATCGCTCAACAAATATGCAGGAGGACGTGGAGATGGATTGGACACTCACTGAGGAGACCGCTGGGTGACATCGCGTGTCAGGCCAGTGCTCGAGTGGAACCCGAAAGGGAAGCATCGAGTGAGACGTCAGTGGAAGGGTGACATGGAGGAGATCGTGTGAAGAAGAGTTGAAACAGTATGGACTAACATGGATTCAGGTGAAAAGTAGAGCAGAAGACAGAAGCAAGTGGAGACGTGCAGTTGAAGCCCTATGTTCCACTAGGAACCCAAGGGAACAATAATAAAATAACAATAATAAATTGATAATTGGGATTTCAAGTTTTGTACTTATTTTGATTATTCTGAATATAGATTTCGTAAAGAATTCGGTATCCACACGACTTTGAATTTCAAACCAAGTGTGAATGAATAGTTGACAGATGAGTCCTGTAAGCTGACAGTCCTAAGTCAAACAATCCTTAGTTGGATCATATAGTGAGTTTTGTTAAATTTTTATGAAACCAGCAGTCTACATCTCTCTACATGGCTGGTCGACTTAAACTAACTGTTGTGGATTTCATTGACTGATGAGGCCTTGTTTTCGTTTTACCATCAGAAGCTCTTTTCTAGCCTGATCCATCCTATGTCAGCTAACATTGCTCGTTGAGGAAGGCGATCGGTGGCTAGGCATGCGTAACACATGTCCTAACCATCTCACTCAGTCGGTGTAACTTCACAACCTCGTAGATTGACTTTCCCTCCTTACCTAGCACATCAGGAAAGAAGGACACGGCGGACCTCCATGCAGTACAGACGTCCTTTAGTCGACGGCCAGCCAGCCAGCCGGATATCACGTCTACTAAGCCAGAGATGGTGCAAGTTGGCTTACGTACGCCAAAAGAGCCTTCTGTATCCATACTGACATTTCGTCAACGATAAGCTAATTGGGTCCGATGCAACTTCCCAAATAATAAGTGAATTGGTCAGCACGCTCCAACAACCACTTCATTCCTGCCCATCTTTAACCTAGGATGGAGCCAATGTAGTCCAGTCCTGTGTAGCATCCATCATCTTACATTTGACAGCAGCAAATCAAATGTCAAAAAATCGAAGATGGAGGTAGCTCAAGATATTCATTAGATTCTGTATTTTATCAGTGTCTTTGTCCATTTTTTAAATAGAGATTTTGTTTTCGTCAAAAAGTCAGCATTCTCACAAGACTTTGAATTCCAAACCAACTGGAGGAATTGTTGACAGGTTGCCTTTGTAACCTGAGTTTCAGATCTAATCTTTAGTGGGACCAGATAATGCATTCTGTTAGAGAGTTCCAAACTAACAGGAAACAACTTCTTGGTTTTAAGTGATTCTTTAACTAATATTATTTTCTGTGACACAGCCTATATCGAAAACCTTATTATTATTGTTCCCTTGGGTTCCTAGTGGAACATAGGGCTTCAACTACGCGTCTCCATTTGCTTCTGTCTTTGCTATACTTTTCACCTGCATCCATGTTAGTCCATACTGTTTCAACTCTTCTTCACACGATCTCCTCCATGTCACCCTTGCACTGACGTCCCACTCTCCACTTCCCTTTCGGGTTCCACTCGAGCGTTGGCCTGACGCGCGATGTCACCCAGCAGCCTCTTCAGCGAGTGTCCAATCCATCTCTTGTATATTTGTTGGGCGATTGGTTCTTGTTTTGTTTGTTATATCGAAAACCTTACAAAACCCAAAATATGAATTATACGATGTCTGTAATAAAATCGATAAGGGAGAGGATGACCAAGAAAGCTTCATGGGCTCATGTAAATGTGTGGCCGGTTACTACTTGCTGGCTGCACACACTGTGAAAGTTAGTTTCTTCATGAAGTACCATGGAACACCAAAGAAAAAGTATTAGTATTGCACAACTTAAGAGCTCCAACAACAATTGCTTGAGGGTGGTTTCTGGAGTTGCATCGGTATTAATATCTTATCGCAGGCGACGGACCACCACCATTAGGTAATCCGGAGAGTGAAATTTTCAGCGTTAACCTTTTCTAACCATCCCCTCCGTCGTCAGAGAGTAGAGGCAGCATACTTGGCTTCTTGGTCAACAGACGGAAAAACCTCACCTGTTGTTACATCTCTCTATTCGCCAGAGTAGTATGACGTCACCCTAAGCCAAACAAACATAACGATGGACACACTGCTTTCAGACTGACCACTATCCGAACAACATTTCTGTCACGGTAGAACTCTTCAGGTACATTATTTCCAGTCAGTGTAGCTAACTTGTCGCCCGACTGATAGCTGCTACCTTGACGTGGTGGTCGGGCTTGCATATCACAATGATGACCCAACGAGCTACACTGGCTGGAACTTATGTTCCTGTAGGTCCTACCATGCCAGAAAGGTTGTTTGGATAGCGGTTAGATAAAAAGCAGCTAAGCTACCCAATCTAATACTATGCTTCAAACAAATTCACAAAATATCATGCCGGATGGGTCGGGGCCCGGATTAACAACGACCGCGCTTCCTACTGCCGTGTCGTCACAGGGCACAAGTGATAAATATGCTACTGAGACACACTAAACAAAAAAGAGCAAACAAAAACAGGCCACGTGTGACCGGCCTCCAGCAGTTGTGGCGACATGAAATGCTGCACATCGGTGCAAAGTTCTATGTCGAAAACGGACAGACAGACAGACAGCTAACTTGTCGGTGGTTAAATACGATATAGAAGGCCGACCACCACGTGAAGACAACTGCTGGGTGAATATCTATTTCTTCTTTCCTTTTTTTTCAACATTATTATTATTGTTTCCTTTAATTCCTAGAGGAACATACGGCTTCAGCCATGCGTCTCCATTGCGTCCGGTTCTCTGCTAGAGTCTTCATCTGGCTCCATGTCTACCCACACGCTTTCATCTCCTCTTCACATAACCTCCTCCAAGTCACCCTTGCACTGACGACCAACTCGTCGCTTCCCTTTCGGGTTCCACTCGAGCAATGGCTTGTCTAGTGATGTCACTCACTTGATGGTTTCCTCAGAGTACGCAAAATCCATTTCCATTTCTTCCTGTCTATTTGTTTCAAAATCGGTTCCTGCTGTGTTGGTTCGCTCAATGCCAGAGATCTCTGTTGCTGATCTTTTCTGGCTGGTCATCTGATCTTGAGTATTGAGCGAAGACAACTGTTAATGAAGGTCTGTAGTTTGTTTGATGTGCTCTTTATGACGCGCAGTGCAAGTCTCTGATCCGTGTAGTGAGTAGCACTGACTTCACATTGGAGTTGAAAATCCGGATCTTATTTTTGATGCTGAGTGCTGACTGTTGACCTCCACACAGACTTGAGAGTAGTGAAAGCTTGTCTTGCTTTCCCGATTCTTGCTTTGATATCCTCGTCAGTTCCGCCTTTAGTTGAGACGATGTTTCCCAGGTAGGTAAAAGAGGTAGTTTCTTTCAGGTTCCTCCAATTGATGCTGATTGTTGTCTGTTGTTGTTGTTGTGGCTGTTGGTGGTGTTGCCCGGGAATCTTCGTCACCTCTGTCTTCTCCATGTTCACCTGAAGTCCTATCTTTGATGCTTCTTCTGCCAACTTGTTGCTTTTCACTTGCATATCTTCCAGTTTGTGGGAAATCAGACATATGCCATCATCGGCGAAGTCCAGATCCTCCAAGTTTTTTGTGTGAGTCCATTTATGGTAAACACACAAATCTTAAAAAACACACACCATATTTCATTGAAACACCGAACAGTCAATAAAAGTCCAGTGAATACATTCATGTGCAGACCATTCTTCTCACAGATAATAATTTGATTTCCATGAGAAAAACACACACGACACTTTATAAAAACTGGATACCTACCACCGCGTGTATGTGAATGATATGTGATGAATGAAGCTATTTTGCTATGTGCTATACCTTCCCAATAAGTATGAATTACTTTATTATTATTGTTATTATTATTACATTACATTACATTACACTGTTAATACTAACATTTAAAAAACAGCCCTTCGCGCATACACACTTTTCACAGTAGTAATAATGCAGACACACAAATGACAAATCCTCGTGATACAGCCTTATTTTGTTGATTAGCATTATTAATCTCTTAACTATTTTTTTTGTAGACTATCAATAACTTTCAAAATAGTTTTATTACAAACACATACACACACACACACACCGAAAGAACAGACACGACAAAAACACAAAGAATACCACAAGAAGAAACATAAAAAAATACAACTGTTCCAAAAACTAGTTAATGTACACAGAGAGAGATGTTTCACTATTCTGTGATTATAGAATATTATAGGAATGCTAAATGTGGTCGCCAAGTGATAATCAATAAAGCTCTCTCTCTCTCGCTGTCTCTAGTAATAATACTATAATTGAAGTAGAGTGTAATTAGATAAGAAATCTGCTGTTAATCAAGCCACGACCATCACCACCACCTATTGGCATTTTATTTGATTTTAATTATATGCAAATTCAGACAACCCAGACAACTGATAGTTGCTGCCATCATCACGTTGATGATCCCGGTTTGTTATATATTGAAATGATTTGAAGAGCCACATTGGCCTGGCTAGACGAACAAATGTTTATGATAGAGGTTAGACTGAAAGCAGGGACCACCATAGAGTAAGCTATTTACGCTATGTTGGCAGGGGTCTTTGGGCGAGTTGTATTGCTGGTGAGTAGGAATGTAGCAGCAGTGTTAAGGCGCTTCCGTCAGATGATCAGGAAGCCAGCTACGCTACTTCTCTCTCTGCTCTGGGTAGTGACGAGAGGGGGCGGGTAAAGGTCGACCTCGAAAATTGTACACCTCAACTTAACTCCGAGAATCATTTCAAGGAGGCCTCGTATAACCGCCCCCAAGATGACGTACCTACCACCCTACTTCATGTTTTTCGGGAGCTCTAAGACCATATTATAGTTCAACTTCATTTCACTGTTAGTCAGTAGATTGTTACTAATTAGTGAGTACAATTCTGCTCTACACTCAGAAAATCCTGACTTCTCCAAATTGAAAAAACTCTATAATTCTGAATATGTCGTCATTACAATCATCGTAAGATTCGAGTGGTTTGAACTAATTCAGCTCTCTGAAACTGAATCGAACCGGGTATACCCACTGATAAACCCGTGATTAAATTCTGATAAAATAACCGAAATATGGCTGCTTACCTGTTTAGAGGTGAATCATAATCATATATGCATGGCATACATTGTTAGGACGAAATAATTTGCAAAAATGAATTACACTACTTAAAATGAATATCAGTAGTGTGATTTTGCAAACAACAAATAAGAAGTATTCACCATATTTCAGGATAGGGTATTTCTTGATATCACCTACTTGGGGAATGACAAGTACTGTTTACTACAAGCCTAAACTATTTTCCAAAACTTGCCTCGTTCATTCTAAATGTGATATGGATGTTTAAAGGAACAAGATTTAGATTTTCAATACACTTATGTCAAGTCAGCCAGTGCTTCCAGAGACTTGGTATATCACAGAAAGCATCCACAACAGGTTTCTGTAGACTTTTATCAACAGCATGGTGTGGCTGCAGTGAAACGGTGAACTGATTCACTCATTTGGGTCCAGTAACTGCTCAACCGATAGAACACTGGTGGTGACCGCCAGTTCAAATCACAACAAAACAATCCTAAATCACTATCGATTACAGCACATCGATAATGATCTACAACAACCAGAGATAATGTCAGACAGTCGTCTCACCAAACCTAATTATTTAATTTTATCAAACGATAACTTACTTGAATCTTCTGTATGTTCAGAATCTTGAAGTTTAGACATCGACTGATTCGATTTTGATGTGTATAGTAATTCATTGCTTTCATCATCGTCATCTACTTGTGTTGTTGTTGTCGTCCATTGTTTTGACGTCGTACTACGACTACCACTACCACCACGAATAGGCATTCGTTTAGCAGAGGATGTTGGTTTATTATGCGCATACTTATCGTCGTCATCAGTATCAGCATCACCATCATCATCGTTGTCACTTCCAGCAGCATTACCACCATCTTCGTCGGATTCATCATCATCATCATAGTCTAGGTCAACACCATACCAAGCTCCACTTGATCGTTGACGTAATAATCGACCACATCCACCACTATCTACTGGTTTGCTTGTCATTGATTTCTCAGCTGTTATGGTTTGATCATCAGAACTAGTGAAACTAACATCATGGTGATGCTGAGGGAAGGCGTCGTCCTTCTCGATTGATCCAAGCAACTTTTTCTTAACTTCTTCCTGTTCTCCTTCTCCTCCTGCTTCTTGTTTCTCTTCTTTACTAACCGATTTTAACGGTGATAGTCTACGCTTCAGTAATTTAGATTTTGAATTGGCGGCTTTTTGTTGTTGCTGTTGTTCATCTTCTAATAGGAGAGAATTAGAATCATTTGGACAACTTTGTGATTCATTTCCAAGATGACTACTACAAGAAAGAAGAAGGAAAACAAAAGACAACCCGATCAATGATTATTGTTTAGAAAACAATTAATGGAGACTAGCAGTGGAATTCAGGACAATGTGTACTTCGTCCTATTCGGGACTCATCAGCAAGTGGATGTACCCACAATTCACCCGGTGAGTGAGTCAGTGAATGAGTCAGTGAGTGAGTAAGTAATGATGTTCCCATTAAGGCTCGAACTCAGTACCATTCATCCACCAACCAAATTACTTCATGTTAATCATCAGTCCTCAGACATCGTTGAAGCGTCCGCACTAACAGCCGACATGTCACAACAGACGCTGAACATTTCGACCTAATCAATCAACGGGAAGACTAAAATTAAATTAAATTGACAAGGCCTATTATTTTTCAGAAAAGTAGACTGTTAGCACTACATGAATTATGGAGGTGTTTGGTGAGTCTGTCTGTCTCTGTCTGTATTCAACATAGAACTTGGAACCGAAGTGCAGCAGTTCGAGTTACCACGTTCCAAATAGCACACTAAGGTAGACAAGAAGATGAGTGAAGAGAATCAATAGAGTTTTGACAAGTACAGGAGTGAAACAGAATGAGTAATGGTAGAAAGGAATATGAAAGATTACACAAGAGACTGAATACATCTGCGTAAGCCATTGACAACGATTTTGAGCCATGTTACCACCTATTGTCTCCAGCCGCCATTGATTCTTAGAGTCCCGAGGGCCCCAACCCGGAAGTCTGCATCTCCCTCCATACCTGACTCAGTTTAACTGTCAAGGATTTCATGGATTGATTGATGCGATGTTTTTGTTTGGCCACCACTTACTCTTTTCCAACCCACACCTACCTATATCAGCTAGTAATGGCCGTCGGGGGGAGGCGATGGTTAGGCATGCGCAGCTTGGTAGTACCCTCATCCTTTGGTCGACAACCAGCCGCATACCACATCTACTAAGCAAGAGATGGAGTAAGTTGGCTGGTAAATGTCAAAGAAGTCTTCTGTATCCATGCTGAAATTTTGTTAACAACCAACCCGTTTGTGGTGATATAACTTTCCAACTATTTCAGTCATTCCCTATCTTTAAGCTAAGGGTGAGTCGATGTAGTCCAGTCCAGCCAGTCCAGTTCAGTCACATGAAAAAAACATCTTGCTGTTTTCGCATACCTATCTGTTCATAGGTCCTCAATTACAGTGTAGGCAACTTCCTTGTATGCTGGTAACCGCTTCTAGGTAACCGACTTTTCTGGAAGAGTGAAACCTATAGCATAGTGTATGTGACGACACGGAAATTTGACTTAAAGCTGAGGTTGAATTCTGAAGTACAAGAATGGCATTTTATAGACATGCATAAGTGAATATCAATATCATAATTGATATGATTATGAACAATAAATTTTGTTCAAAACGTACACCAATAAATAATACTGTTTCACTGTGTGATATATCTAATAAACAAACTAATATGGAATTACCACAGTGCCCAAGTTTTACACATATATTAATATGAACTCGTACGTCGTTTAGGGACTGATACTCAAACCAATGGCCCATGAATTTCAACTTCTGCCAATTCACTATATATATATTTGGTGCGACGGAACAACCAATTTCATCGACAGGTGGCCGTCCTCTTACCTGACTCGGTAGACACCGCCGGTTGCGACTCCTCATTAGAAATCCATTAACGGATGACAGTATACCGGGGGTTCCAGTGGTTGGATGGTAACCTTGTAACCGAAGGGTCCTCAGTTTCAACCCAGTGGGGCACACCGCTGATGAGGAGTCCCGAAATACTAGGACGAAACAGCTTTCCAGTTTCCAGTGATTAATTAACTAACTGGTATCAGAGCGTGATGAAGCCTGTAATCAATCTAATACCTGCAAACCAACAGCTGATAAGACAAAAAAAAGGTTCAGGTTATTTAGTGTCTTCTGTTGATTGATATTCACATAGCGGACAGAAATCCTCGTTCTCTATTCACATGTCACCTGCTTAGTAAGAATGCTTTGATGACGTCTGATAGTTAACACTAATGTTATTCGGTTGATGGTGGGTCAGCGCACAGCAATGGAATCCAAGATATATCCCCAATGAATCATAGTGTCCTCTCATTGAAACTCGATTTCTTATTTGATGAAATTATCACCGGTTTTGGCGTTTGAAAAGAAAGGGTGTTGGCCAGAGGATTGATGTCAGTTAGAGAACCATCGGTAAAAACCCCAATGGAGGAGTACTAGACAGCTGTTTCCTCCATCCTAGTTCGAACTTGGGACCTTCCTCTGGTTATAAGGCAGACACCTATGATTAGCTGTCTTTGATCATAGGTGTCTGCGTTCTATCTCCCGTGTGAAGTAGTATGATAAGGTGAGCAATATTGAGGTTAGGAGTTGGTCGAGTGCTAGGTGAGGAGGGGAAATCAATAGACAAGGCTGTGAAATTACATCGACTGAGTGAGATGGTTAGGACATTTGTTACGTATGCCTAGTCATCGCCTTCCTCGACCGACAGGCAATGTTAGCTGACATAGGATCAGGCTGGAAAAGAGCCAGTGGTGGTCAAACCAAAACATGGCACCAGTCAATGAAATCTACAACAGTTAGTCTAGGCCATGTAGGAAGGTGTAGACTTCCTGGTTGGGGTCCTCGGGACGGTAAAATCCAATGGTTGGAAACAATTGGTGACATGGCTCAAAATCGTTCTCAGTGATGGCTGGCGCAGATGCATCCCCTCCTTGTGACTTATGATTTCTAATGAAAATGTTTTGTTCTTCGTTATTACTATTCCTTTGTCTCAAACCTCTGTTAACTGTCTCTAATATGCATTTCTTCTACTTTCTTCTCTTGCTTTGTGTGCTACATGGAGTGTGGCGACTTGGACGGCAGTCGCACATATGTGTAAAGTTCTATGTAGAAAACAGACAGACAGGTTATAAGACAGGCTCACAGATCATTCAGTCCGACTCAAAGGCCAGCGCCCATAAATTCTACCTTCTTGAAACAAATCGAATCTCTACAAAGAGTAGTAACTCTTGTAAGGTGTTGGGGGGGGGGGTTGGAAATTGGGTCCTGGGAATGCAAGTGCATTCATACTTGCTGAGTATTAATCAAATCAAGACGACAATAGAAGAAAAAAAAACAAACATCTTTTATTTTTTTTTACTCACCTACGTATATTCGCTTCAAGTGTATCTAATGTCTCTTTATCTTGTTCTAAACGTGTACGTGCAGCTTGTAGCATTTTTTGTGCAATCTCTGTTAATGGACTTTCAGTACCATTGAATGTAATACAATTGGTTAGAATTAATTCTGTCCGTTCGAAAAATTCATCACGTGAATGAAATCGATTTTCTTTAACTAATTTTTCAAGCGTTGATAAATCCATTGGATTACTGATAATTTTATAATAATCCTAAATGTTAAAAAATTAAATAAATCAATAAATCAATATTGAGAAATGTTTTATCATGAGAACAAAGATTTCTTAGCCTACTGATACTATAAAAAATATTAAGGATAATACAAAACTGTATACCCCTGTATGATGTTATGTACTACTGATGAATATATATGAGTAGTTGGAAATGACTAATACTCATCAGCCGTGTACCCAGTTCGATTCAGTTCAAAAAGCTTGAGTTCTGGTTGATGAGATTGCCACCAAACGAGCCAAGGAGGTCCGACTAGCAAGGACTATTGGTTGATGTGAGGAGTCCTATCCAAGTGCTCGCACCAATGATGCAACTATGTTAACTTTCTTGATTTCCAGTTAAGGTCTCAGGTATGTCACATATTATGATGTGAACAATTAGATATTAGTTTGTTTATTAGATGTATCACACACAGTGATGAAACAGTATTATTTACTGGATGACAAAGTTTCAAACACAATTTATTGCTGTTCATAATCATATCAGCAATTATAATCACAAGACTTCGAAACTTCAGTTTTATAGTTGACTTTGTCTTCTCCTATTTGTCGTCGTTGGGGTAGTAGAATTTTCCAGATGTCCAGCTGGACAGGTGTTGAATCATTCCTATTACACGTATTTGCGGTTGATTCGATAAACAAAGCTTCTGTTATCAATCTCTCCCTCCACCCTTTTACATCCCATCCTATTGTATGATTGTGTGTAGTTGCATTTAGTGAGTGCTATAGTTGAACTATTCTCTAGATTTCTTATTTTATTCGGGTCAACTGATCTAAATTTTGCGAGGGTTTTATGCTCGGCTAGTCTGACTGACCGCCCCTGTTCTACTAGTTTGACCTATGTATTTGACCTGACAATCATTCCAGCAGGGTATTAGATAAACTAAATTGTTTTGTTTTAAAGGCTACACAGGATTGATCCTTCAACAGACAAAGCTTGTTTCTAACTGAGTTTGTGGTTGGTTTGAATGCTAGCCACTTTTATTCCTGCTTGCATTGTTATGAATTCTGTGTAAGGTTTCTGAGGTTCCTTCTTTGGGTGGAAGTACTACTGATGATTTAGATTGCGCATATTTGACATGCATGTCGTCATTAATGTTACCATTATTATTATTATTATCACTATCACTACTATCATTATTTATTTCATTTTCACATTTCCCTACATATTTCTTGACTAATTTATCAGGGTAGTTATTAAGTTTCAAGGCTTCTTTTATGTGTATCAGTTCTTGTTTTAGATTTTCCTTGCTACTACTTAGTTTTTGTGCTCTGTCACTTAAACATTTCACCAATCCTATTTTTACCGACATAGGATGGGATAATCGGAAATCCAAATATCTGTTTGAATCTGTGAGTTTCCTGTAATGTTTAACTTCCAATCTTCTTCCTTTTTACACTACAATCTAACATTGGCAGTTGCCCTTCCTGACTTTCCAATTCATAGGCGGCGAATTGAATTGCCTCCACCTTTGAGTTAATGTGTTCGAAAAATCTATCTATATCTTGTGTTCTAAGTAGGTAGGAAAACATAGCAATTGAAACGTTCACCCCCACTCCAAAAGTATGGTGGAGGTATGTAGATGACACATTCACTGTACAATAAATTCTGTTCGAGACGTCATCCAGTAAATAATGCTGTTTCACTGTGTGATACATCTAATAAACAAACTAATAAGGAATTACTTTCTACCACAGTGCCAAAGTTTAACACAGATATTAATATGAACAATCAGAATTTGCAAAAGGGAACACTGGTGAATATTTCTCGATGACTCTAGCCAGACAGCAGTCTACACCTCCGTAAGTGGTTGGCTCAAGCCAACGGTTAAAAACTTCAAGAATTGATGCCAGATTTTGATTTGACCTCCCGCTAACTCCTCTTCTCCAGCCTAACCACCTTAAGTAGACCAATATTTCGCAGTGTGGAAAGAGGTGGCTTGGCATGAATAAACACACGAAGCTTAGCAGTTTCATCGATCGACTTGCCTTCCCAACCTTAATATTAATCATCATACTATATCACGTAACACGGGGAGGAGTGCAGTGCAGATATCAATGCTTGAAGATAGTTAGCCTCTGAAATATCTTCCATTTCTAATAGCTATGCTTCACAGCCATTCAGAAGGATAGAAAAAACTGCTACACAACATGCACTCGCACTCGCACACACACCTGTCGTTTGACACTTCAAAGATGGCGTCAAAGCGAGAGAGATTTACGAATTTCATAGACATGAAACACTTATTCGTTATTCTGACCATTACCGGATGTCACATTCTTTCACAATTACACATATTTTAGAAAAAAAATTGACAATGAAGATTGCTTAACAAGAATAATCAATCAGATTGAAAGGCTCAGCATCGTTTGAAGGCTAAATTTGTCTTCTTATTTATACGAATATAAAAGAAAGGATACTGAACAAAGAGTACTCTTTCCGATAACTTCATCATCAGGTTCTACAATTATATATACATTATAATGAATGAATGAATTAGTCTTATGAACGACATTAATGTTTAAATAACATCAAATCAATAATATTGGTAGATTACAGCTGAACAGCATCAACATAAAATAAACTGAATGTCAGAAGAATTAGGAAAGGTAATAGTACAAATTCATGAGTTTATAGTCTCTACTGAGAGTCAGGGCAGTAGTAGGGGCTGGACTTGCTTCTTTTGAACACAAAGCACTGGTTGTTTGAGGCGAATTGCAATAGCCTCTGCTGTTTGGAGCATGCGGTGCTTCGATGTTTTTGGCAATTTATTAGGCACCCGGTAGATGATAGAGAAGGATTCTTCAATGCTGGCTGGCTTTGTGGCCGGCCGGTTTGCACCAGATGGTCCAATATCGAACTGTTAATGGTTTTAACTACACCTTTACTTAGCCATAGTGGGAGATGTTCTCGAGCCACGAAAAATCAAGTTCCTAGAGCAACGGCCAATATAACTCACTCCACAAGCGCAGTTGAATTGATAGATACAATTTGAAGTGGCTAGTCTAGGTACTTCATCTTTCAGTCGAGGTAGCACCATCGGTCGTGTAGAGAATAATACGTGTAGTTCGCCAGCATTAAAAGTTCTTTGAACTGATTTTCTCAATTTCTTCGTAATTATCTCACTTGGTATATCGCCCATGAATTGTAGTCGTATATATAAAGGCTTCTTGTTTACGGATAGTGAGTAGTCCTTTTCCGCTTTCTTTGTCATTTGTTTCTTGATAAATTTGTCGGGATAGCCATTTTCGATCAAAGTATCATATACAATGCTTAATTCATCTTCAATTACTTCTTCTGAGCATATAGCTCTAACTCTGTGGCTGAGGGTCTTCACTAAATTTCTTTTGTACTTGAGAGGAACGAAGCTGTGAAAATGTGTATATTGTCCTGTCCAAGTACTTTTTCTATGCAAATTTCTTTTTATGCTACCATCTGGTTTTCTTGTAAGTAGGACATCCAGGAAGGCAATTCTCTCTTGGGATTCGTCTTCGCATGTGAATTTCATAGCTGAATGTACTTCATTGAATTCAGTAATTATTGTACTCCTATCCGAATCATTATCACACAGAATGAAGGTGTCATCCATATACCGGCAATAAAATGAGAGCTTACTGATAAGGTTGTTCAGAGGTCCATTTTCTAGCTCACTGAGAAAGAAATCAGCCCGAATGGGACCCAATGGGGAGCCCATTGCCACCCCGTCCACTTGTCTGTAAAGCGTGCCGTCAAATTTGAAGTTTACATTCATGGTACACCTTAATAACAATTCTTTTAGGATTTCAGTACGGATGCCAATGTTTATCGACTGGTTATCCGCTTGTTCACATATGTAGTTAGCGGTTTGTTACTAGAGGTACATTTGTGAATAAAGATGGTATGTCCAGAGATATCATGATTTTGTCCTTGATATTAATATCTTTGATTTTGTCTACGAATTCAAATACATCTTTGACGCGCTATATTTCACTATCTTCTCATGCAAAAAAGTAGCCCTATGCTGAGATTAGTTCATGTAAGACTAAACGTCTTGAAGTACTTTAATTTTCTGGAGGCCTGCTAAAACTACTGTGTCAGTGTTATTAATTTACGCTCCAAGTGTAACATATAGGACTTTAACTTGACATCTACACTCCATCATCTAGTTCTCTTCAGTCCTGTATAGCTGACTGGCTTCATAATTCCCCCATAAACTCTCACCTCCTTTCCAAGCGACTTCCTCAGCTTAGAAACAACACCCGCCTCGTTGCTTCCCATTCGAGTTCCACTCAAGCACTGGAACTGACCTGGCGCGTGATGTCAGTCGATAGTCAATCTCCTCAGCGTGTTATTCCGGTCATTCATCATAGTTAATCTACCACTTTTCTCTGTTTCTTGGATCGTAACATAAACTCAAATCGCGAACTTTTAATTAGCTTACAGACTGGCGCTGTGCGGCACACTTCAAGGAGAAAATGAAGGAGAAAGGTCGCCGAAAGAGAGACGATTCGGTCCTGTTTAAGATCAAATGACGACGTTGCCTTATCATTATTTTATTATTATTGTTTCCCCTAATTCCTAGAGGAACATAGGGCTTCAGCCAAACGTCTCCATCGCCTTCGGTTCTCTGCTAAAGTTTTCACCTCGCTCCATGTCTGCCCACACGTTTTCATCTCCTCTTCACATGACCTCCTCCAAGTCACCCTTGCACTGACGACCAACTCGCCGCCGCTTCCATTTCGGGTTCCACTCGAGCGATGGCTTGTCTAGTGATGTCACTTGATGCATTGTTTCCTCAGAGTATGGCCAATCCATCTCCATTTCTTCCTGCCTATTTGTTTCACAATCGGTTCCTGGTTGGTTCGCTCATTACCAGAGATCTCTGCTGCTGATCTTTTCTGGCTAGCGATCTGATCTTGAGTAGTATTGAGCGAAGACAATTGTTGATAAATGTCTACAACAGGCTGTTGGAAATATTCTTTGTGACCCGCCAAGTAAGTTTCTGATCCCCGTATAGAAGAACTGACTGACTTGACGTTTGTATATTGGAAATCCGAATTTTGTTGTTGATGCTGAGTGACAGCGGAAGATTTCCAGATTGGTTTCAGGTTGGTGAATGTGTTTCTTGCCTTCCCGATTCTCCATTTGACATCCTCGTCCGTTCCGTGTGCCTGTAGTTGAGACAATGTTCCCTAGCTAGATAAGTGAATGAAGTAACCTCTTTCAAATCCCTCCCGTTGATGGTGATTGGCACTGGATGTTGCTGCTGCTGTTGCTGTTGTTGGTTGGTTATTTTCATAACTTTCGTCTTGTCTATGTCCACCTGGAGTCCTGTCTTTGCTTCTTCTTTGACCAGTTTGTCGTTTTTCGCTTGTAAGTCTTCGATTTTGTGTGACATCAAACATAAATCACCCGCGAAATCCAGGTCTTTTAAGTTCTTCATTTCGGTGCAAGATATCCCTGTCTTCTCGTTTCGCACTGTCTGACGCATAATCCAGTCCACCACAATTAGGAATACCATTGGTGACAATAAGCACTCCTGTGTTTACTCCAAACGCCTCGCTGAGTTTTCCATTGAGGATCATTCGAACCAATCACACATCTTAACATCGCCTAGATTACTAGCTCGCTAGTTTTCTAGCCGGTCCAAAGCCCGGATAAAGAGGGAGGGTTGGGGCGTGGTGCTATCAACTCCACCCCCAAAACTTTACCAAATTGCTACAGAAACTTCAACGCATAAGTATATTAAAAAGATGTGTGATTGGTTCTAATTTAACCACACAAAAAGGCATATACACCTTTCATCAATCATTAACTGTTAGATTTTGACTTTAATGAGCACAAGTGTCTCTTTTTTTTAAAATGATTCAGAGAGTTGTAGCGCTACGAAAAGCATTTCTGATAGCCTTTAGACTTGTATCAACAGCCGTCAAATTGGCTTCATGCTAAGGATCACATGGTCAGAAAAGGGAATAAGCGATACGGGGAGCTCTCTGTGAACGGACCAACGAAGGAATCTGTTGCCCAATAAATATGCCAAAAGAAATGGAAAGAAAGGTTGGGTATAATACACTGAGGAGACCATGCTAGGTGACATCAAGCACCAGGCAGATCCCCAAGCGGGACCCAAATAGGAAATGAGATGAGAGAGAAAAAGATCCTATGAAAACGCGATGAAAGTTTACGGGCAATTGTGGTGCTAGCTAACGAAGGACTGCAGCGAACAGCATGAAACGGGGATGTGCTGTTGTAGCCGTATGTTCCACTACATGAAACCAAGAGAATATTAACAGTAATAATGTTAATAATGAACCACTTACAGGATATCGTCGTTTATCCACCGGTATATGAAATGGTCGACTATGCTCAACACTACGCATAGCTTCAATAGCCTGTTGCAGAAGATAACTTAAACCGACAAGATCATCTTCATCCAGTAGAGGATTCACCAGTGACTCTAATCGCATTAATTTTAATTCTTTATGACAAAATTGTTCCATTACATGGGAACACATTTTCATAGCTGTCTCTGTATAGGCACTATAACGACCTAGAATGGAAAATGATGATAAAGGGTCAAAGAGAGAAGGAAGTCATAAGAGATAAGCAAACACACAAAAACATAAAATACTGTTCACGTTATAAAAATGAGTATATATATATATATATGTATATATATATATATATATATGGTAAAGTTAAACTTTAAGCACCACTAACTACCAATTAGCGAACGACCTTCAACGAACCAATCACATGAAAGAGGGCATTTTGATTATGGAAAACTTATATTTATGGAAAAAGCATAAAACTGTTACATAGGGTATCTCTGTCTAACATGTGGCAGAAACATCTCCCAGTTCATCAGAGGAGTGTCAACAGAAAAGTTACACCACATTATGTACATATATATTCATCCAAATGACTATTAATGAGATCTTTTTGAGATCCATTTATAGCCCTAATCCTACTTTTCAATCTTCCCCAAAATCCTTCTATAGAATTTGCGTGTGTCCCCGTAATGGGATCGACAAAATCACTAGAATGGTTCACTCTATGATGAATATATCCAAAAGATGACAGAGAGTTATAACCTTTCTACTCATCAGTACGTACTATGGATCCCTGGTTCACCAGTCGAGTTACAATAGGTACTAACCGTTAAAAGTGAACTTGGTTTGGACATATATAATAGGTACTAAGGTTGTGGACTTCCTGTCTGCTATTCTCTCCACGAATCCTTTCTGCAGGGAGGTGTCATATAAACCGATTACCGAAACATTGTTGGCTCACTCAGGACCATGAGTGTATTTTTTCTTCTATAATACAGTTTCGCCCACGTGTACGACGACACCCTCTCTGCCTAACAACGAAGTAATTCCATCCATTTCCCGTGAGGCAATGTCTCTGCACTGCTGGTACCACTGAACTGCTGACACGAGGCTATTTTCAGTTTCAGAGGCTGAGCCTCTCACAGGCTGTTTTAAAACTCAGTAATTACAAATATACAAAATCTGGGTTAGGGAGAAATGCGACCTAGCAAAAAATGTTCCTACGAAATATTAAAATCATCAGCTTACCTTCCCTAATACTAACTCGTCTCAAGCAAATTGCACAACGACGGACATATCCATCAATTGACCTGCTAAAGCTTTTTTAAACTCATGACACTTTCACATGAACAAATCCTCCCGGGCATAACTGCAAAACCTTATCTCGATCGAACTGCAAGCGTAACTTCGTTAGAGCAGGCATTTGATACAAATAAAGCGGAATACAACCTTGAATTCATGTGCATGGACCTCATTGGACCATTCGAGGTCATTCGCTGATTGGTAGTTAGTGGTGCTTAAAGTTTAACTTAGCCATATATATATATATATATATATATATATATATATATTGGGGAATGCTGTATTTACTGTTTGTTGGATACTCTCAGCTAAACCAATTCATTCAAGTGTTGGTTTTCATCTGAAATAGGTTAAAGAACCATTGGAAAACCTGGGGGGCTGGGGAGAACTGCACAACTATTTTGTCCTAGCTCAGGGTTCGAACTCAGCATCTTATAGTCTACAAGCTCGGCTTGTAGACTATAATGATTCTCAAATTATCTACTTTTAAAGAGTTGGAGTGCAGGGATTTGATTGATTACAGGTGTTATCACGAGCTGATATCAACTCGAGAAATATTGGGAAAGCAAAGCTGTTTCGTCCTAATTTAGGACTCTTCATCAGTACCCACTCTCACCCACCGGGGTTCAAACCTAGGACATTCTGGTTACGAGGCGAGCTCATAGACTACTATTCAACCATTGGGCCACGATGCAATGTTCCATGGTATCCCAACTTCTGCCAATTCGTGATGCATAGTACAGTGACCAGCGAATACCATACAACTGTCTTAGTGAACTCCTTATTGGGTCTTTTGGCTTACATTGTATGGAGTAAAGTGATTGCCTGCTGTGGATTTCATTGACTGATGAAGCCATGTTTTGGTTTGACCACCATGTGCTAGCTCTTTTCCAACCACATCGATCCTATGTCAGCTAACATTGTCACCCGTCGAGGAAGGCGATGGCTGGCTAGGCATGAGTAACACATGTCCTAACTATCTCAATCGATGTAACTTCACAACCTTGTCGACTGATTTTCCCTCCATACCACTAGCACTTGACGCCTAACTTCAATATTACTAACCCTATTATGCCGCTTAATACAAGAGATGGAAAGCGGACACCTATGATCAAAGACAACTGGCCCTCCTGTTTCTTCCACTTTCAATAGCCATGTTTCACAGCCATAAGGGGGATGGAACGAACTACTGAGCAGTACGCAGACGTTATCTAATACCTTAGTTAACCCAGACAGTAAACTATCTCTACCAACCTTAAACACCTCTGGAGTGATTTCATCAGGTCCCGCTGCTTTGCCTCGTTTAAGATTATTGACACCTTTTGTAACCTCAGTTAGGGACGGAGGACCGGTGTCTATATCCCATTCAGGGAGATGTTGGATGCTGGGTAAGGTGAGCGTAGTTGTAGGTCAATTAAATTGCTCCTCTGAAATATTCTTTCCAACGTCCCAGTCGTCTATCCTGAGAGCGAATTATGGTTCCATTTTTCTCAGAGATTTTTACACTTATTATTTGCCTTTCGCCACTTATTGCTGATGACTTTTCCATCTCTTCTGCCTTTGTCATGTACCACTGTTCATGGTCGTTGCAAATACATTTTGTCAGTTAGCGTTTGAGCAGCTTTCGATCGGCAACATAATCGGAGCTAGCCGGAATCAGTCTTCGTGTGTTTATCAGACTGATCTAATCTTGAAGAACTTAGTTTGCATTTCACAAAAGTGAATAACATTTTCCAGTTAGATTTCATCAAGTACCAACACCAGTAAAAGAAAACCATGGAGAACCAAGATCTACCCACAGTCCCACTCCCACCCCCACTGCCTATAACTGAACTTGGAATCTTCCAGTTTAACAGGTGAGCATATTAACACTCACTCACTCACTCACTCACTCACTCACTCACTCACTCACTCACTCACTCACTCACTCACTCACTCACTCACTCACTCACTCACTCACTCACTCACTCACTCACTCACTCACTCACTCACTCACTCACTCACTCACTCACTCACTCACTCACTCACTCACTCACTCACTCACTCACTCACTCACTCACTCACTCACTCACTCACTCACTCACTCACTCACTCACTCACTCACTCACTCACTCACTCACTCACTCACTCACTCACTCACTCACTCACTCACTCACTCACTCACTCACTCACTCACTCACTCACTCACTCACTCACTCACTCACTCACTCACTCACTCACTCACTCACTCACTCACTCACTCACTCACTCACTCACTCACTCACTCACTCACTCACTCACTCACTCACTCACTCACTCACTCACTCACTCACTCACTCATTGCGTACACGGTCAATGTGTTGGACCCTACTGGTCAAGTCAGAGAAGTCAGTTACATCACTATAAACCAATACTTGATGTTTTGGTGTTTTATGGAAGGATCTTTATAAACTCATCAAATATCGAAGCAGAAACCAATACACTGCTTATTCATCACATCATCCAAGAAATGATGAAGGGATAAAAAGGCGTTAAAGCTACGCGCACAACACTAAGTAGATAGTTAGATCTTAGCATTCAACAATATACGGAACAATCCAAATTACTATACAATGACACAGATGTTATAAAGTGGAAGGCACAGACACACACGCACAAACAAACGAACAAAACAGTATAAACGAACTATATACTGCTTACCATTGAATTTTGAAGAATTAGTATAAATTAATCGGATATCAGATAGGAATTCTTCACGTGTAGCATAACTATTCTCATTGATTTTCATACGTATCTGAGATAAATCCATTGGAGTATCAATTTGTGAATAATAATTAGGAAAATCTTTCTCTTTCACTGGATGCATAAATATTTTATAACCGGGTATTTGAGTAAGACCCTGGAGAGATGAATTTAAAGAAAAAAACAATAGCAGGAAAAAAAATAGAACTAAATTAAGTAAAGCCTAGACATGCTTAAAATAGTGGGAATAGACAAAACAATCTCACAAGGTAGACATTATCTATGATAATAACAATACTAAAGGTATGATTTATTGAAGAATACATTCACTCAAAGTATCCACTACCGTCCTACAGAAGATCGCGCTGGTGAGTCCTAATAGCTCACTACTCGTAACACGTCATTGACCCCGCAGCACCGGGTGACCCGGGTTCGAATCTCAGAAGAAGATTACGAGTACGCCTTGCTGACGAGTGCTAACAAGTGCGAAACATAGGTTCATCTAACAAAAATTCAGAGTGCAGTGAGTGATGGTGAGTCAACTATCTATCAATCATGATGGCGACATTGCAAACTTGACTGGTGGAATTCAGTCTGCACCAACACCAAGGATTAGACGTATGGGATTAGTTACTACCTAGCAACTGGCTCAATGAACTCAATTAATTCAGATACTTTTTCTAATGACCTCAATCCTATTCAAAACAAGTGATATAGCCAGGCATCTAGTTCATTTATACCACCTTGATTTAACTAACCTGTTGGTAAAACCTATTCAAAGTACTTACTATTGCCATAATGCAACAAGGAAGTAGGTTTTACCAGTGTATGAATGTACACTCTGAGGCAATAATGTTGATAAGACACACCTTTAGGAGGAGTTACAGTAAAGATTATAGTTTACAGTGTACCTTAATTTAGACTTCTATCGAGTAAGTGGACCAAGGGAGGGTCTTCCTTTTGAAATGATCTTGTGTGACTACTCCTCCACAGTCTCCACCTGGTAAATCCTATTCACTGCTTTCACGCGGCGGTGGTGTTTCTCGTAGAAAAAAAGAAAGGGTGAAACCGAAAGTCTGGCACTAATAACCGGACAGGTGGACATGCAGATCTACATATGGGGCGTTTCTATTCAATTTCATCATAGATGTACTAATGGACTTAACTCCAACTCACTTCAGAGACTCAGGGATTGACTTGCTACCAGGGTTTGAATAATCTCGTTGACTTAGAATATGCAGATGATATAGTCCTTCTAGGCGAGGATGCTGACAAAATGCAGAGTCTTCTGAACACCTTGAGCTGCAATCTACGAATGTTTGACATGCTGTCAAATGTAAGATGATGCTAAAGGACTGACTGGACTACATTGACTCGTAGCTTAGAAATAGGGAGTGAAGTGGTAGAACACGTTGACCACTTCACTTATTTGGGAAGTTGCATCAACCAACGCCAACGGGTTGATCTCTGACGAAATCTCAACACGGATACAGAGGGCTAGTTTTGCATATACAAGTTTACGCCGCCTCTGGCGTAGACGTGATATCTGGCTATCAACCAAAGGACGTGTGTACTGCTCAGGAGTCCGCTCCGTCCTCCTTTATGGCTGTGAGACCTGGCCATTGAGAGCAGAAGACATGAAAAGGCTAGCTGTCTTTGATCACAGGTGTCTGGGTTCTATCTCCCGTGTGTGTTAAATGGTATAATAAGGTGAGCAATATTGAGGTTAGGCCTCAGTCGAGTGCTAGGTAAGGACGGGAAATCAATCGACGAGACTGTGAAATTACATCGACTGAGATGGTTAGGACAAGAGTTACGTATGCCTAGTCATCGCCTTCCTCAACGGGTAATGTTAGCTGATATAGGGCCAGGCTGGAAAAGAGCTAGCGGCGGTCAAACCAAAACATGGCACCAGTCAATGAAATCTACAACAGTTAGTCTAGGCCACGTAGGAATGTGTAGACTTCCTGACTGGTTGCGATCCTCGTGACGGTAAACACGTAATGAGCGTTGGGGAGAATTGGTGATATGGCTCAAAATCTTTCTCAATGGTTGGGGGTGATGCATCCACTCCTTGTGACTTATACTACCCAATAAAAATATTTTATTCTTCGATTTTACTATTCTTTCTGCCTGATATCTCTGTTGATTATCTATCTCTTTTGGATCTCATTTTACTTTCTTCTCTTGCTTTGTGTGCTACATGAAGGGAGTGTGGCGACTCAAACTGCTACACATCGGTGCAAAGTTCTATGTCGAAAACAGAACAGAGCACACGGGGTGCTGGGAAACCGTCATTCCAAACCTGTGGTATACATGGTCTCCAGAATCGGAACGAAAAGAATGGTGTATGAGCCTGATTTCACCACTGGTAACCATGGGAAGGTAGCTCCTGACGCTGTTCCACTGTGTCGTGGATCAGACTTCAAGTTCAATACTCGGGGAGGGAGTGACACCTTAAGACAACCATCCCCGCACAATCTATACGGCTTCGTATAGTGCACCTCTTGGTGCCCAGAATGAACCAATTTTACGATTCAATAAATAAACAAGAACGTAAGACCAAAATAATTCAAATAAACGACTTATAAATCACCTTATAGATTCCTTCAAAAATATGATTCAGCGCAACACGAGGATCAATACGCCGTCGATTACCACGATGTTTGATACTTGTCGGAAAGTCATCATCATTAATACCCATACTGGAGCGTCGATTTCTTCCACCACCACCACGACCAGCACCCATTGCTCCACGTCGACTTGAATTAACCGCCGACTGGACAACAGCAGCTGCAGCATCCAAACGATCTAACAACTGACGACGTATTTTCAGCTTTAGATTACGACGATTTTGTTCTTTAATGTATTTCGTTAAACCAGAGTGAAGTTTTAGCTTAGTTCCTTCAACCTAAAGTAGAAAATATGTAGGAGAAGGATTTCAGAGACTGTGTGGTAAAGTATAATTTCCTATGAGATAAGTTCATTTTGTATATAATACAAAATGCGTCGGTGGTACAGCGGTTAGGACGCTCGCCGACCACGCCTCATTTGGTTCGAGGTTCGATCACCGGCCACCGACGCACTCCTTCACCTCTCTAAACCAGAAATAAAGCTGGTAAAGAGGAAAGGTTCGGTATGAGGCTATCAACCCCATTCTGTAAAAATAACCACCACTGCTACAGAAACTTCAAGCCTCTAGCCTGAAGCCCTATGTTCCACTGGGAACGTGAAGTAATAAAAAAAAAACAATGTTGATACAGTGTTATTAATTAGACGACATTCTGAGGACAATTTGTTGCTCACAATTGTCATATCAATGCATTGACATGACTTCTTGACTTGATTTTTACAGCCTTACATCAGCCTCCTGATGTATTATTGTAATTCCCCATATGTCCAGGATATGTATGTGTTACGTCATTTCGATTGCACACGCTTCATGCTGATTCGATAAACAAAGAGTCAGTGGTTAACCACCGGCCAAGTTAAACTCTAATCACCACTAACTACCAATCAGCGAATGACGTCAAATTATCCAATGAGATTCACGAATGTAGTTCAATGTTGTATAGCGCTTGATGCATTTCAAATGCGTGCCTTTACAAGGTTACGATTGCAATTCGAGGAGGACAGTGTTTTCCAGTAATGCCTGGATTTAGGGTTGCTTCGGAAGGAGCGAACTTGTGCGTGTAGTGGTATCATGACTTTAAGAAGCTATAGTAGGTCAACTGATGGATTTGTCCATCGTTGTGCTATATGCTTGAAGCGTGTTAGCATTAGAGAGGGTAAGCTGAAGGAAGTCTTTTTGCAAGGTCACACCTCTCCTTGACGCAAATTTTATATATCTGCAACTATTGGGTATTGAAACAGCAAGTGAGAGCCGCAGCTGCCGAGACGGAGAACAGCCTCGTCTCAACAGTTCAATGGTACCAGCATTGCAGGAATATTGCTTCTTGGAAAATGGAGAAGATCACATCGTTGTTGGGCGGAGATGACATTGTCGTGCACGTGGATGAAACTGTGTTGCTGAAAAGGAAATACAGCCATGGTCGCCAGCGAGCGAATAATATTTGGGTAATAGGTTTATACGACACTTCCCTCCGAAAAGGATTCGTTGAAAGAATAGCAGATAGAAAGGCGACTACTCTAATACCTATTACTACGAGACTTGTAAAACGGGGGTCAATAATACACACGGACGAATGGAAAGGTTATAATTCCCTGTCATCTCTGGGATATATTCATCACAGAGTCAACCATTCAAGTGATTTTGTGGATCCAGTTACGAGGACTCATTCAAATTCTATTGAAGGATTTTGGGGCCGATTAAAAAATCGGATAAGGGCTATAAATGGATCTCATTTATAGTCATTTAGATGAATATATGTACAGAATGTGGTGTGACTTTTCCATTGACAGTCCGATGCTTAACTGGGAGATGTTTCTCTCACATGTTCGGGAAAGACACTCCCTGTAACCGTTTTATCCTTTCTTTTTATGCTTTTTTCTATAAATATACGTTTCCATTTACAATAAATGCCTCTTTAATGTGATTGGTCCGTTGAAGGTCGTTTGCTGATTGATTGTTAGTGGTGTCGAAAGTTTAACTTTGCCTAACCACCTCTCATTCTACCTTACCATGTTACTTTCATGCAAATGAATGCACTCCAATGGTCGATCTATTTTCCAGATTATTTCGCTTAGCAAAGGGGTCATTCATTTTAGCTCTGGCTAAATCTCTATATAATACCATAACCTAAATGACCCCGATCTGTTGGTTTGACTTCGCAGTCATGAAATGATATTTGGTATTTTTTTAAAGTGGTACTTAAGTCCAACTGAGTATGTGCTTAAGAAAAATTATATACCTAGTAAATAAGACACTAAATACTTGCTCTAAAAGACATGGAGTAAACCCCGAAAATATTGTTGCTAAGTGACATTCAGTTGTTTTCTTTTTTTAAAAACATTCGATGTATTCAAAAACAAAAGTCCCCAACAACTTTCACCAAAATCTTCTGTGGCATAGGTAACGATTAGACAAAAATGAGCCAATGACGAGTAAGCAACGCGGTTATTTTCCAGTTCAAGGGATCAAATTATAAAAATGTTATTCTAACTGGTTGATGGAAGCTAGCAGTAGACTCTAGGAGGTGAATTTCGTCCCATTCGGGACTCTTCACCTGGACGTACCTGTGTATTCCTGATGAGTGATAAGCGTTTCCACTGAGATTGGAAACTAGTCACCATCGTTTCAAAGACGAAAGCCTTATCTATCTACTAGGCGGTTACTGGGCCATGGAAGCGATCTATTAGGCAATAGTGGTCAGTTGTTACTATGTATTCCCCAGCGATTGGTTACATTGGACTGAAAAGCTGAGAATGCTCCTTTAATTTAGTTTTACAATAATTATCAGTAGGGTGAAAATATCTACAAGACCAAATCACTGATATCTGTTAGTGAAGAAGTCTACGAATATCTAAACCTCATTGGAGTAGATGTTGCCCACAAACCCATATACAGTTTCTTCACTCCATACTATGTGGATCAAAAAGATCCGAGAACAAAAGAAGAGTCAAAACCAAAGTTATCACATAAAATAGATTACATTGTATTGAGATTAAACACTATCTATTGACCAAAGAGGACATCACCTTTGTCTTCGTTTGCATTCATGAACGCCAAAAGAAAAAAACATCGATGAAACCAAATCTTCCACTCTCCGGTGGTGTAAAGGAAAACTAATAGAAGCCGATCGCGTTGATCAACTGGTTTACGTGGTTATAGTCACTGTATTTTCTCAAGGATGGACATCATTCCTATGCAAAGACAAGGTCACTGCTATGATATAACTGTTCCGCTGACTTAAAACCCGGTCGACAACAGCAGGCTTTTCGTGGTGGTCAAACATGAACACTGCAGTGACCTAACAAGCTACAGTGGCTGGGACCTATGTCCCCACAGGTCCTACCATGCCAGGAAGGTTGTTTGGATAGTGGTCAAACTAAAAGTAGTTACTTTGGGGGTAGAGAATCTAGTCGGATCAAATGGTGTATGAACCCGACACTACTCCGCTACACTGCGGACTAGACACACACCACCTGCTTCAGTCTGGACATCCGGGCAGTATCTCAGCTGTCACACAATTAATGAAATGAGAAAAAACGAACTAGCAGTAAAACTAATCGCACACTCATTACAATGTTCTCTAACAATAATGATACTTCAAGTAACATAGTTCTTTTCAACCCTATTTTTATACATAGACTCTTGTATTTTACTTTTGCTATCCTTGGCATCTTCAATTTCGTCAGCCTTTTCCCCTTTGTCTGAATTCTCGAACTATCTTTGCCATTTCGAGATGTGAGCGAGTAGCCTTCAAAATGGTTATCCTCAGTGCGACATGGAACACAGATAACCTGAAATCGCATGCCGCGAACAAGCTTGCCATCTACAATGTTGAGACACTGATACAAATCGCACAACAGGCAAGTTTGGTAAGAACATTGGAAAACCTCACTATCAATGCCTGCTGCATTTCGGAGACCCACATGCAAAATCCCAGTAAAGTACTTCGAATATCTTCTCCATATAAAAGTTAGAATTGTGTTTACTAGCTGCGCCTATCCCGAGACCCTGTGACGTCGGCATCCGGCGTAGCTGATCTGGGAGTATAGACGCAGAGGAGAGTCATCTATGTAATCAGTGGAGTTTTCATGGCTTCAGGTCAGATAATGGGGACTGTCTTTTGCAGCTCTGCGCAGATCACACAACCTATGTATAGCCAGCGCCAACTTCCGGCACAGCTATCGCCGTAGCGCAACCTCCCTCTACAAATCAAGTCTGAACTCCGACTCATCATATTTCTGTCAGCTTCAGATAGCGAGGATGCATATACAGGAAGGCCGCTCCTTCTGGAACGCATGCCTGGTCTCCAATGGTGCTTTAGTTGTGTTTGCCAGGCTCGTCTTGCAATTTGGTGGGGCTCATAAACGGCGTCATCTACATGTTGATTTGAGCAAACTGCTACCTCTTTGAAATAACAGGCTGAGTTACAATCAAAGCTAGCTAGCAACCATCCAAGAAGTATATTTCGACATTGGCTACATCTGCAAGGCTCCATGCAAATGGCGAGTGAAGTCACTTTAGGCTTAAAAGAATGTTCCGCTAAACATCACTGGATTTCTGCAAGTTCTTTGCAACTTCTAGGTGAACATTGGTCCATTCCAGCAGGCAGCGGGGGTACAACAACATGCAAAAGACGCTTACATGCAAGATTAAACAGTGTTTACATAAGAATTGCGCAGCCTGGTGGTCAGTTCGTGCGTGTGATATGGAGTCAGCAGTTGCATATGGTAATAGCTGAAAGCTGTTCCAGCTTATCCGAGTCACCAGCAGCAAGAAACAGAGTGTTAGCGAGACAATTTGCGAGGCAGATGACACACCAATTACCAGCCTGAAAAGACTCCTGGAACTCTAGGCAGAGTACTTTGAGAAGCAGTTTAGCAGACCATCAGTACCAGCATCCACCGTCATCAGCTACAGTGCTCTTTGGCCGGTCAACACCGACTCGCCAATCGAAGCAGAGGTCAGAGAGGAACTCCAAATGTTGAGACGCCATAAGATACCCGGCTCAGACAACCAAACCCCGGCTCTTTTTAAAGATGGTGGTGAGACTCTCGTAATGGCACTAACTGGATTATTCAGGAAGGTATGGGAGACTGAGGGTATACCATCAATGTAGAACGAAGTCATTATCACCCCTATCTTTAAAAAGGATCGAGGTAATAACACATGTGACAGTCATAGGGGGATCAGTTTGCTACCAGCGGCGTCTAAAATATCGGCTGCTGTCTTGCTTCACGAGCCGTGAAAAAACACGTGAGTTGATTCACGAAGAGTAGGCTGGGTTTCATTCAAGCCTTTCTTCGCCTTTGTGACAATAATTCGACGAATGCTGTTTTAGTCTTGTTATAAATATAATTCCTTATTGATCCTCGACTTCAGTTGTGTGGTGAGAGCTGTCTGCTAACCAAAATTGGTAGACAACAATTGACGTCAATGTTTACGTCCCAAATCTTGGTCATGAGAAAAAAACAAACAAGAACAAAGATTAACTCAACAACCAATCACAGCAGACTGCGTGGGCGGATACGATTCGTATATATATATATATGGTCTGACCTTCAAAGAAATGGCCACAAAGAGATGACAGAATAACCTTCAGCGAGAAAACAACCAATCAGAAGACGCTGTTTCTCTGATAACAATAATGTACATAAAAATATATAAATATCTCTTGATTTCCTCAATAAATGATATGTTGCCTGACCCTTGTCTTCTGTTGTTACAGTTGTTGTTTTATTACTATTTTTATTGTGTTGCACATCATCTTGGTGGCATATTATACCAGGTTTTGTGTTTTTTAAATAAGTAAAATAGTATGACTTAGACGGACAAATATAACACACATCAATTTAGACTGGATAATGCGACAGACGGCGGCGGGCAGGAAGGAAACAGGAATAAAATGGATCCTAACGAAAAACTTGGAGGATCTGGACTTTGCCGATGATATATTTCTGATTTCCCATAAACTAGAAGATATGCAAGCGAAAAGCAACAAGTTAGCAGAAGGAGCATCAAAGATAGGACTTCAGGTGAACATAGAGAAGACAGAGGTGATGAAGATTCCTGGACAAGAACAACACCAGCAACAACAACACACAACAATCAGCATAAGTGAGAGGAACCTGAAAGAAACAACCGCTTTTACCTACCTACCTGGGAAGCATCGTTTCAACTACAGGCGAAGAGAACTGACGAGGATATCAAAGCGAGGATCGGGAAAGCAAGGCAAGCTTTCATTACTCTCAAGTCTGTGTGGAGGTCAACAGCATTCAGCATCAAAAATAAAATCCGGATTTTCAACTCCAATGTGATGTCAGTCAGTGCTACTTACTGTACGGATCAAAGACTTGGTGCGTCATAAAGAGCATCTCAAACAAAATACAGACCTTCATTAACAGTTGTCTTTGCTCAATACTCAAGATCAGATGGCCAGAAAAGATCAACAACAGAGATCTCTGGGAGCGAACCAACCCAGCAGGAACCGATTGTGCAACAAATAAGCAGGAAGAAATGGAGATGGATTGGCCATACTCTGAGGAAACTATCAAGTGACATCACTAGACAAGCCCTCGAGTTAGTCATCCAAGGGTGACTTGGAGGAGGTCATGTGAAGAGGAGATGAAAGCATGTGGAGGGCAGACTTGGAGCCAGATGAAAACTCTAGCAGAGAACCGAACGCAATGGAGACGCGCGGCTGAAGCCCTATGTTCCTCTAGGAATTAAAGGAAATAATAATAATCATAATAATAATTTAGATAATGAGTGAAAGGATACAAAAAGAAGAGTACAATAATTTAAGTAAAATAATACTAACCGTCATATCATTCTCTCCAAGAGCACTATGCATAGATGATTCATCAAAATCCTCTGAATCTTTGCTATGATGTCTATCATCAAGATTCTCCGTACCATGACCATAATTAGCCTTTTCTGCTTCTTCTTCTTCTTCTTGTTCTGCTAACAATTCACATACAGGTCGAGAGGCTAATGCTTGTGCTGCTGCTATCGTTTCAGGTTCTAATTTTCGACCAGTATAACAACTAGCCTCTAAGAAGCTTAATTCTCCTCTATCGTCTAGCTTTGTATTGCCCAAGTCATCAATTGAACGCGATAGATTACGCAGAGAGGTTTGTGAACGTAGTTGACCACGTTCTGTAGTTGATGTTGTTGTTGTTCTTCGGACACCTACATCATTCTGTAGAGATGCAGAGGTACTACCGCCACCACGTCCATACATTGGACACTCTTTATTAGTACGCATATGACCTAAATAATGATAAGAATAATAGGAAAATAGTTAATCATCTGTTATTCATTTTAAACGAGAACAAAATAACTGTTTATTTATTAATAATTCAATTTCGACTCTCCTGTTCATCGATTGGACCGAAGTGGGCGAAGTTCAACAATAGCGTCCCAGGAGTGCGAACGTTCAAATGACCTATGAAGGCTTGCTAGTCGTTGGTTGAGGAAACTTACCATTATTCTAGCGCAAAAATGATGAATGGTGTTCGTCGGCTCAGATGTAAATTTCACCCAGATCACGTATTTCAATACTGCCTGGATAATGGATTGATAGGACGTTCTAGTATATGTTGTAGCTTTGGTGCTTCAATGAACCTGCAACCGTATATTCTCAGGTCATTGATGGATATATATATATATTTAGATGTACAGAGTGTAGGAAACAAATAAGTGTTCGTACTGGTAAGTGACCCTCTCTCAGTTAATTATCTTCTAGGAACTTTCTTTGAAAAATCGAAACTGTCCTTGACGAATATATACTGTTTCTGTGCCATTACTGGATTTTAATGTCCGGGGTGAGATCAGACAGAAAACACGTTAACGTCTACTGTGCAATGGTTCCAATTTTGTCTAAATTTGGCATCATGGAAAATGAACAGTATTACGCAAGTTTTGGGAGGAGTCGGTGTTGTCGTTCATATCGACGAAACGGTCTTTATGAGGAAGAAATACAATCGGGGACGTTCTGGAGCAAATAACGTTTGGGTATTGGGAATTTACGACACCAAAATTTGGAAAGGATTTATTGAACTTATTCGAAATAGGAGTGCTGATGCACTCCTCCCTATTATTCAGCGGCTCGTCTTGCCAGGCACTACCATTCACACGGATGAATGGGCAGCATATCCGATTATCCGATTTGGGATATGACTTCATCGCTCCTAGAACCGGTACTCATACTAATTCAATCGAAGGTTTCTGGGGAAGACTAAAAAATACAATCAGAGCTATAAACGTCTCTCAAAATCAAGTTACTTTTAGTCACCTAGATGAATACATGTATAGGAATTGGTTTAAGTTAAGAGCTGACACTCCCCATTATAATTGGGACATCTTTTTATCTCATATTAGACAAAAATACCCTGTTTAATGTGTTTTTTTTTAAATGTAAATATACGTAATTTTTTAATGCAAAAATCCTCCATTTTTCTGATTGGTCGACTCAAGATCACTCGTGCGTTCGTATCCCATGGGACGCAATTGTAGAACTTTGACCCGAAGTGCTTGGGGGCCTGAGGTTTACTTGTCAGCTCTTTGTGCAGATGCTTTGACGATGTCCAATTTTTTAACTTGAAGTAAATTATTGGTGGATGGTGGTAGTGACTAGCAGTGGAATCCAGGATGCGAACTTCGTCCTATTTAGGACTCGTCATCTGGAGCTATTCCAGCATTCCAATCAACTTGAGAACGAGCACTTCGGTCCAATCAAAAGACAGGGATGACTCTCATGGCCCAAGAGTGGTTTAGTGGATAATGCTTTGGCTTTTGAAACTATGGGCGCTGAGTCCGAGTCTCAGTGGGTACACAATCAATCACTCATTGGGGGACGTAGGTACATTCACTCACTGACGAGTCCCAAAACAGGAAGAAATGCACATTGTCCTGGGTTCTACTGCTAATCACCATCCACTGATTTACTTGAAAATGACTGTTGGTTTGTACTCAATTGTTATCTTTCTGTAGCCTAGTGGGGATAATGTTCTTTGACTCTTTCACATAAAACACACATTGAACTGCCTATATAATTCGCGCTCCACGTGAGCAAGTGAATTGTTAGATACACACATAGAAGTGGTCAAATGCGATAGTTTATGTTTTTACAGTTATTGGAGTACACTGGTCACCAAGAGAATACCAATCGTAATATGGGAGGGAAGAGTGTTTTTTTTTACGGAGTTTGATATTCTCTTCTTTGAAGTGTCAGCCAGAAGCTCGTCAGTGGAACGAGATAAATAGATCATTAGATGTGTGTTTTCTCTAAAAGAGTCAAAGGCAAATCATCTCGTCTGACTGCAGAAAGGTAACAATGGATCAATAAGTGGTACAATAATTGAACACAAATATTCAGCACTGACCATTCAGTAAGCAAGGATAGTTCATGGAAAGTCAAAAGAAGCCTCCCGGAAAAAGGTAAGCTTCTGTATACTTTGCATCGCCAATGCATCTTAGCGATTCCGATGGAAAATTCCCCTTCTTCTACTTTGAGTATAATACCAAGGTCAAAACATGGCTTCATCAGTCAGTGAAATCCAAAACAGTTAGTTTAAGCCAGCCAGCCAGTCACGCAGGAAGGTGTAGACTTCCTGACTGGCTGGTTAGGGTCCTCGTGATGGTAAGAACCAATGAAGACTGGAGACAATTGGTGGCGCAGATGCATCCACTCCTTGTGATATATAATGCTCAATAAAACTATATTGTTCTTCGATATAAATATTCTTTTTGCCTCATGTCTCTGTTTTGAATCTCTTTTTACTTTCTTCTGCTGCTTTGTGTACTGAATGAAGGGAGTGTGTCAACTCGAACTGCTGCATATCAGTGCAAATTCCACGTTAGAACCAGCCAGTCAGTCAAGTACCTTTCAGTAATCTGAAGTTTCTGTAACTAACGAATCAAGAACCTATTGCCCAAAAATAGTGCAGAAAGCCATGGAGAGGGATGAGGTATCACACTTCAGGTGTCCTCGAGAGGATACCTGAATGATAAGCGACGAGTTAATCACCTTTTCAAGGGTGGAGACAGACAGATAAAGAGGGGGGACTGCAGACAACAGTGTGGCGCGCAGATGTGCTGTAAAGGCCCTATGCTCCATTCGGAATCCAAGGGAGTGCCATAATAGTAATAACAATCATACGAATAAGTATAAAAAAAACGATATGAAAAAAATTTAAAAAAAAAGAGTTATTTTTCTAACCCATTTGACCGCATGCACCACAACGCATTTTAATCAACGCCTCTGTCAGTGTTTTATGCCGTCTATGTCGATTCGCTTTATTGCCCAATCCTAATGAAGACTTCATACCGGGCATAACCCCTCCACTGCCAACACCACCACGTTCTCGGATAATTTGTTGTTGTTTACGAAGACGACGTAATTGATCCTGTTTTTGTTTTGGAAAAAGGGGAAAACAAAATTAGAAACACACATTTTTATTCTTTTACATAGAATCAAGTGTATTTTAAACAAGATTCAATGTAAATTCAGTGTGGTAGTTTAAATAAAATCAATAGTCGCTTGATTATGGCGGTCTACTTAAATTTCCACTCAATTTGATGCCTAAACTTCTCTCTCCACTTACATGCTCAAACCACCCAACATTTACTGACGTACATTTTAAAAAAAAAAAATTAGCATTTAACTTACGGTTGAGTACATATCTCAAAGAGTAATGAAAAGCGGCATGGGAATATCATGAGGAATTAATTGGATGTTGAATTAAATTGATTACTAATTTACTTGGAACTCCTATATACAAGGATTAAATATTGTGCAATAAGTAATATACTAAAAATTATGTATTCTACTGCAAACATATTGTCCGGAATAACGCTGCTATTGGTTATTGGGATTACTGTGAAGGTGAGATCAGTGAAATCTCTGTATCGGGTGACAGTGGTTGAGTAGTGATCTACGAGCTCACCACCTTGTAATCGGAAGTTCTTGGGGTTTAAACCCCGGTGGATGTGTACTGATGAAGAGTCTCGAATGGGGACGAAACAACTGTCCGGTAATCAAGCATAGGTGGTTCAGCGGTAGACATATCTTCACTAACCTAAAATCTGCAACACTAATATCAAAGTCAGTCAGTCAGTGCTGCCACATGGTTCAGAGAGACTTGGCCTTTCACGAACGGTAGGCATGGCGAATAGGCTTCAGACTTGTGTCAACAACTGCCTTTTCCGTTCCATACTAAAGATCAGATGGCCAACAGCGGACTCTGGGAACGAACCAACCAAAAACTCACGGCCTAACTAATATGCCGCAGAAGAAAGTGGTGATGGATTGAGCATACTCTGCGAAGACTGTTCGGTGTCATCACATGCTAGGCCCTAGAGTTGAGAATCCTCATGGAAAACGACAAGTTGAGTGAGATGAAGATCGTGTAAGCAAGAGATGAAAACATATAGGCAATCGTGAAGCCAACTAAGGGGGACTGGATGGAACGAACATGTGCTGTTCTGTTGAAGCCTTATGTTTCACTAGGAACCCAAGAGAATAATAATAATGTCTTCATTCGGAAAACAACTTCACAATGCATTTCAAAGGAAATGCGTGATCAGTCAGTCTCATGTAGTTAGTTGCTTTCTGAGATCTTCAGTCACATTACACCAATACTTCACATGTTTTGGGTATTTCAGAGTAAGCTACAACACCGCTTACCAATATCGAACAGATGATTTAATACTTCAATTAGTCCAAAAATAGCATAACAGAAACTATGCAACAAATACTCTATAGTGATGAAAACATAAAAACGCAGTGATGTTTAACTTGGATAGAACTCATAATAGAATTATGCCTTACAACATACTTCCAATTCAATACTCAAATATACGAACAGATAAAAGGAACACCAATGGGATTATTGCCCATATCAGGATTCATAGCTGAAGCTGTTATGTAAAGATTAGAATTAATAGCTCTACCTGTAATTAAACCAAAAATCTGGACAGGTACGTTACGTTGATGATACATTTGTAATAATTATGAGAAATGATTTAGAATATACCCATAAATTAAATAAACAACATATTTGAAGACATTTAAAAATTCACAAGAGAAGAAGAATTAGATTACAAAATCCCATTTTTAGATGTCTTAATCAAGAGGAGAACCAACACAGGAGATTTAGAAACACAAGTATGTAGAAAATCAACGCACACAGATCAAATACTCAACTATACTAGCAATAATCCAATTATTCACTCACAAAAGAAACTGTGTGCAGACATTGTTTAAAAGAATGGAAGAAAAACAACCAGAAACGGTTTTCAAAAAGAATAGTTATCCACAAAATTTCATCAAAGTGTTTAAAATCGAATCACAACACCAACAAGAAACCATCATCAAAGACCGCAAGAAAATTCATCCTACCCTACATGAAAAATATCTCTGAAATAACAGCTAGAATACTGAAACCGTTTGATATAGATATAGCACACAAGCCAGTCAAATCACTTAATTCGATATTGTGCAAACCGAAAGATCCAACAGAAAAAGGAGATCAAATTAATACCATTTACAAAATAAATTGTCTGAACCGTAACAGACATTAGATCGGACAACAATGTGGGCATCCCCTTCGAATCAGAATCCAGGAACAAAAATCAGCTGTGAAAAGACACGATATGTATTCTTTAGTATCAATGCATATAGGCAATTATGGACATAAGTTAGATTGGTATAATGTCGAAACCTCAGACGGAGGAAGCACCAAAAGAGACAGATAATTCCTAGAAACCTAGTACCCAAACGAAAATGCAATTAACAAACACGTTAATATAGACCAAATATACCAACTAATAAAAAGTAAATCATGTGACCAGAAGGTTTAAAATCCAAGTCAATAGAAAATGGTCAATACATATGTAAAGATGGTTACCGGGAGACGCAATTCTATCTATCGCTCATGGAAAAAATTTAAATCAGTTCACTTTATGCTAAAAATTGCGCTGAAGGGGGATATTGTCCAGAAGGACGACGGAAGCTCCACAACTAAACCAACCAGCTCAGAGAATATTATTAATTGCAGATGATTTATGTATTAGGAGGCATGAAAGCCACCTAATATTCCGTTTCTAGTGCAGACGAAAAGTAGGCAGGAATGTAAGATGATCAGTCTACCGACAGTCAAATACTTCAGCTGAAGGAGCCACCGAAACACTTTCATAAATAATGCATTACACAAGTACGTATAATACAATCATTTATAAAAAAAAGGAATTATAACATTTCAATAATACCTGTAATCTTCGTTTCTCTTTCTTCTGTTGCTCGCGAAAGTGATCATCTGAGTCAACAAAGCTATGAATAAAATCATCATCACGTGTTTGACGAATTTTCAAGTAGATTTCTACAACCGGTGACCATGGTACTAATTCCGTTCGTGTGTACTGATGCCCGTCTTCTGAATAAGTACGCATTATGCGTAACATTTTCTTATTGGCATTTGGCCATGGTGGTTGTAAGTCAAGAATTGTTCCAGCGGCAGTAGCACTAGCATCATACACTGTATTCCCACTTGTACTGCCTTCATTGCATTCTGTACTGGATAAGTCAGCCTCTTTCAGCTGTAACTGATTCGTTTTACGTGGTCGTTTTGTTCCTGGTAATGAATCCTTTAATGGTATTTAAATTGAAAAAGGGAAGTTAAATTATAAAATTCAATTGAAAATAGTTACAATGTTATTTATAAAAATTATTATATCTACAGGATAGGCAAGTATCAATACGTAAACCTGGTGCAGTTTTTTAATGTAGATATCAGTGATAAACCGACATGGGTCAGGGAGTCCCACTGAGGAATGTACAGCTCTCTCGTCTTTAGCTAGGGATTCTCTTAGGCAGTTCACATCAACGATCTTACCAGAGGTTGGATTCAAGACCTAACCTTCAGGTTACAAGGCTACACCCACCGTTGACTATTCAGTTACTTCAGGAGTACATACTTTTTACTTTACTTCGGCTATCTTCTACGGGAGGATGAGCCGGCTTCATGAACATCTCGAATCATCGCTGCCCAGGCGCGGCGATCTGATGCGTTTGTAAGAGAGTTCATGAAGTTTCATGGGAATTTGGTACGAGTCATGTCCCCAGAATCGCTCGGCCTTTTGTTTGAGAGTGCAGCTCTAGCCTTTACACAACCAAGTGTCACCTACAAGGCAGTAGGAGTGGAGTAGGGAGTCCACTATCCATTGGCAGCCGGTGACCGGAGTTCGGTTCATACACCTTTTTGAATGGGGCCAGACATCCAACAAGCCCTTTATTCATACGTCTGCCAGTGAGCTCCAGTGAGCTTCATACGCCAGTCGTTGGAGGTTTGGAATCAGGGCTTAGCCATCTCCCCTAGACTGTCATCCAATGGACAGTCAACCCGGTGAAGAGCGCCGGGCATCCGCTTTCGCCCTCTCCCTTTGGTGAAAAACACCTCCGGCACGTGAAGGCAGTGAGTAGGACTTCCTCAGGAGAGGCTATGTAAGACGTCCGGTCATATGGGAGCATTTCAAGAGGTGTGCGGAAGGGTGGCCAACCCGCAGCGCAAGTCACCCACCCCCGACCATCCTGAGGCTTTGGAGGCCCTTTAGGAGTACACACCGCTGAAGAGTTCCACACTAAAGACGAGGCAGTTGTTCAGTGCCTCATGGTGGTTCATGACGAAATTCCTACAAACTCAAATGTCTGAATAATTAGATTTTATAATGAATGGGTCAATAGTGAAAACATTAGGTTAATAGTGAAGCCATTAGATTCAAAACTGCATGACGCAGGTGTGTGTGTCAGAGGGGATATGACATGCAGTCAAAATTTTCAAAGTAAGTGTGAGTGTTACTCAACAACAACGATAACAATTTGCATTTCCATGCAACTGGCAAATGAACCATACTCAATATATGACAGCTAACCATTCTACGTGGCCGGACTAACTTTAGTAGATGAAGGGGGATTCGAAAATGCGACGCAATGGCTCAAAATCGTGTGTTTAAGCCAATGAGCCAAATCTGAACTATTACAAATAAGTTTCTAGTTTTGACTAAAGAGCTAAATATGTTCGATGTACCTTCCGTCACTAAACATCCGCTTTTTGGCTCTGTACCCGGATGTCTTCTGTTAAATAAGCTTTCCTTGACACCAGTCCCGGAGTGATGACTGGTTGCATTCTTATTTCTCTAACAGTATGCAGTATACTGTACAATCAGACAAATCTTTCTCTGACTTGCTTACTGAAGCCGGTGTTCCTCAAGGTGTTGTTCTCCTCTGTTCGTTTTTTTCTTTCATCTTACATGACTCATCTCTTTCAGGTGAAATCAACTTCGTCAAAATATGCTGATGGTTTGACTGTTTCGTTGCCAGTTACTTCCTCCGATCTGACTGCTCCAAACTACATAGCTGTCTGTTAAACATCGACTAGTGGTTTAAGAGAAATGGTTTTACCTTAAATCCTTCTAAATGCCAGACAGTTAAATTCACCGTCAGGCATAAACGTGATCTACACGACTTTTTCCGTTCACAAGATGCTTGTAGCATAGAGGGTAGTTAAATGCAGACTAAGTCAAGTATTCAATACTTTGGAATACTTCAATCTTCTCACCTTTCTTTGTCAGTGATCCCATATCTTGTCGATTTCGAAGAATATGTTCCGCCTAACCTTCAACATAAGGAAGTTGAGACAACAATCAGGTATCACTAAACGTCTACTTTTACAGTGTGCTAACTCTTGAATCTTACCTATTGTTCATTGTTGCTTCCCCTTAGTGTTTTCTGCTACCTTAACGACGTGATCAGGTTTGCATATCACAACTAACCAGAGAACTACACTAGCTGGAACCAATGTTCCTTCAGGTCATGCATACTATGCCAGAAAGATCGTTTCGATAGCGGTTAGACTGAAAGCAATTACTATCATAGTGTAGGTTGTTGAGGGGGTCTGCGGGTGATGTTGAACTGCTGGACAAAAGGGATGTAACGGCAGGAAGGTGTTTCCCTAGGATGATCAAGACGCCAGCTGTGCTGCCTCTCCTCTCTGAGGAACTGGGCGAAGGAGTTGGAAAAGGTAGACCCCGAAAATTTGACACTCCCACTTACAATGTGGCGGTAAGATCTTAATACAAATGCAACTTCAGACAGGCTGTGTGTGTGTGACCAGCCTCAAGTAGTCTTCTAGGCACTTCAGCCATGCTAAATTACTGTTCCTTCTGTCTCTTTCAGGTAACGCCGAAAAAAATCAATAATGATAATAGTTGCAGCGAAGAAAATTTTTTTTCGACGAAGTCATCAACTAGGCTATATATTCGTGTTTTTTTTTTATAATAAATGGGTGGGAAAGTTCCAGAATAATTTCCAGTCAAGCGTCAAATTAATAAAATTACAATTAGGAATTCAAATGCCATCATAAACAGGAGGACGGATAAAACTCAAACAAAGTAGCATCATAATTACTGAGACGATTGACATTTTGTGCAAGCCTACGACTAACGTTTTCCTTCAAGAAACTGTTCAACCAGAACGCGAAAGACAAGCTGTCGCATTGGGCCACTTCAACGAGCATATACCAGCTTACTTGCTCATGTGGAGCTGAGTACATTGGCCGTACCATGCGCCAACTTTAAAAACGCGCTCGTGAACACTATCCAGCCTGGCTAGTAACAGGAGAACGAAAACGTGTATATAGCTCGGTGACAGAACATCTGGTCCATTCAGGACACTCAGTGCCATTCGAAAAATCCTTCAAAATAATATACAAGATTCGATCAAATCTATCAAAGGGAGTAAAATTAAGACATCTGGGCATAGCCGAGGCACTAGCCATTCAAAACCTCAAACTCACGCTATGTATCCGAAAGAAATATGTCCAACCCTTGTCCCTGCCATGGCCATCATAAACAGGTAATTCTTTTAGTAACCACCCCGTTGCCTTCCTTATCCAAACTTCCTAATTATTCATGTTATTTTTAAGTTTTTCCTAATCCCTATTTACACTACCATATTTTCATATCCGACCTTCCTGTCTATTTTGTTATTTCTACATATTTAATCCCTAACTGCACAACATGTCAATCCTCTCAGTAATTATGATGCTACTTTGTTTGAGCTTTTTATCCATTCACCTGTTTATTATGGCATTTGAATTCCTAATTGTAATTTTAGTAATTTGACCCTTGACTGGAAATTATTCTGGAACTTTCCCACCCATTTATTATAAAAAACACACGAATGTACAGCTGTCTAGTTGATGGATGACTTCGTCGTAAAGAAAATTTTCTACACTACAACTGTCTTTGGCAACTCTAAAGAATAGGAGCCCAAACAGAAACGACCTACGAACGCACAAACGACCTTGTCAAGGACAACTTAGACCAATCAGAAGGCTCAAAAAAACGGTGCATAATTGTGAAAATCGTTTATATAAAAGTAATGCAATGTAAAAAATAGCTACATTGGATAACGTTCTCGTATATGTTGCAAAAAAGCTCCCAGTTTCTCATAGGTGTCTTCATACTGATGTTAAACCAAGTTCTATACATAAACTCATCAAGATAACTGCATATCATTGGATTTCTAGATCCATTCACCAATCTAATCCGTATTTTTAGGTGACTCCAGAAACTTTCGATTGAATTAGTATGAGTTCCATCCAAAGGATTGCGAAAACCGTTTGTGTGGTTGACTACATGATGAATATACCCGAGATTCGACCGAGATTGACCGTAACTGCTCCATTCGTCTGTGTGACGACATACCCTCTAGAACTGATTTTCTCCTCTCGCTGCATTCATTACACCTGTACACAAACCCATCAATGCAGTTTGTGTATTTTTGTATACCTCCACACTGACAAATTTTCGACCTTGCAATCAGTCCGTTATCCAAACAGTAATCAAAAACAAGATCCGGAGCGAATTTACAACGCAAAAGGTGTAGAGCATCCATAATTACTTCTAGTAACAACAGAGTCACCTGATTGGTCGATCAAGGTCGTTTGTGCGTTCGTAGGTCCTTTCGGTTTGGGCTCCTATTCTTTAGAGTTGCCCTGTCTATTTTATTATTCCCAATGATAATAGTAATAAATAATATAAAAAAAGTAAACACATTAACTAAGTGACCAAAAACTTACACTGCCTTCTAAAGCTCTTTTCAGTTTACTTCGATCCTTATCATCACCTTTACTGTCTAACTCTTTAGATGTTATCCGATTAGACATTAACGATTCCATATTACGACTAACTTGTGCATAAGAACGAGCTGATGACGATAGACTGGACAGACGTACACCGCCTATGGAATTACTCGGTCCACTGGAACTATGCCCACCTAGCCCTGTAGATCGATGACCACCAACACCATCAGTCCCGGTGACTTCATCTTCATCATCTTCACTGCTCATCTCTTCATCAGAGCTTAACAGTTCTGGATTCGACAGGACACGATTTTGTAGATCAAATATTCGCTGACATTCTTCTTTATAACAACGAATTTGTTCACTCATTGATAAGCGATTACCACGAGCGAATTTTGCTGAACCTTCTTCTTCGCCTTGTTTAGCTCGTTCAGTCGATGTGAAACGAACCATGTCAATGATTTCCCAACTAAAGAAATTAGAAGAATTAAAAAGTTATATATATAGACGGCAGTGTCATTACTATATCACTTGACAGTAATCTTACAAGTAACTGAGCAAATGATTAAGATTAGGAACTGGTTTTCCTAGTCACTTTGTAGATATAACATTGGTTTTCAAATGTTGCTTTGCAGGAATTTGATTGGTTATAAGTTTTTGATCACTTGTTGATATCAATCAGGGGACCATACAAAAAATACCCAGGGCGTACTGGCCGACTGTTTCGTCCTAGTTTGGGAGTTGATTGAAGTTTGAATCCACGGGCCATTAGATCGGGTCCATGGCTGATTTGAACTCCAATGGATGCGTGCTGATGAAGAGTCCCGAGCTAGGACGAAACAGCTGTCCAGTACTCCCTGATGGTTTTCCAATGGTTCTTCAACTTTTGTCAACTGGTGATCAAACATAAAACACTGCTAGAAAGTACGGTGACAGTAAAGAAAAGACACCAAAGTCAAGTGACCTTGAACCAACCACCAATCAGACCGCTTAGCATTATTACAAATGGATGGATGAAAACGATTCGAACGAGCCATACAACCGATAGTCTCATCAAACCATTGGATCTTATAATCCCCAACCGGACTCCAAACAGACAGACAACGCTTTCCTGGGCGGTTGGCTCTAACCAACTATCAAAGATTTCATTGATTGGTGACAAGTATTGGTTTGACCACCCCTAACTCTCTTCTGAAATAATCTAATAATATCAGGTAATATTGGTCGTCGAGAAAGGCAGGTGCATCATGTGTTCTAGACAATTCAATCGATGACATATGACAAAGAGTGAATGCATCTGATCCAGCCATCAATAAGAACGACTTTGAGCCAAATCACCACCAATTGTCTCCAGCCCTAATTGGCTATTACCATCCCGAGGACCCTAAGCAGCCAATCAGGAAGTCTACACCTCCCTACATGGCTGGCTAGCTCAAACTCACTGTTGTGGACTTTATTGACTGATGAAGTCATGTTTTCGTTTCACCACCATTAGCTCCTTTCCAACCTGATCCGTCCAATGTCAGCTGAAATCGCTCGTCGAGGAAGGGGATGGATGGCTAGGCATGCGTAACACATGTCCTAGCTATCTCAATCGATGTAACTTCACAACCTCATCGATTGATTTTCCCTCCATACCAAGCACTTGACGCCTAACTTCAATATTACTCATAATACTATACCACTTAACACGGGAAAAATCGAACGCAAACATCTGCAGTCAAAGACAATTAGCCTTCGCAAATACGTGCAGTGGTCAACATACTCTACGACTTCACACCAGTCCTGCAGCGTTACCTTAGACCTGACAGTAGTGAATCGTATGCCAAACATTCAAAGACTTTTCCTCAAGATGTTGTTCCTAAGACTCTGCATTTAGTCAGCGTCTTCATCTATGAGAATAAGCCGACGGACGAGACTGTACCCAGATAACAAGTCAATCCCTAAATCAATATAACTAATACTTAACAGAAAATGGTAATCTCCAGAGGTCAATTTACCGAAAGCCTACATGGAATGGACAATACTTACATAGCTATAAACGAGCACTAGTCAAAACTCTGTACTATAGAGCAAGGAGAATATGCTCTGCAGAGAAACTAGACGAAGAATTTATGATTCTCGAAAAGGTGCTGAAAAACAACGGTTACCCTCAAAGATTCATTAACAAATATGGAAGATGTGAAGGCTCAAATACCAAACAAATCACAGTTGAAAAAAAGCCTGTCTTCATTCAACTAGATTTTAAAAGTGAAAACATTGCAGAAATGGTCAACAGAAGACTGAGAACGTCATTAGCCAGAGTCTATCCTGCAGCTAAGTTGGTTTCCGTCCATCGAACAACATGCTCTTTGGTGGAGTTAAAAGTCGATAGGTAACCTTCTCATGTTAACTCAAACTGTGTATACAGATTTACGTGTATCTGCAGGAGCAGTTACATTGGGAGAACAGAAAGAACGACACACCTTCGATTTTCAGAACATGTGCCAAAAAGCCTACGTCTCAAGGGAACAAACTCTTATAGTAGCGCTATTACTAGACATCTTCTCGACACTTACTTACTTTTACTTTACTTCGGCTATCTTCTACGGGAGGATGAGCCGGCTTCATGAACATCTCGAATCATCGCTGCCCAGGCGCGGCGATCTGATGCGTTTGTAAGAGAGTTCATGAAGTTTCATGGGAATTTGGTACGAGTCATGTCCCCAGAATCGCTCGGCCTTTTGTTTGAGAGTGCAGCTCTAGCCTTTACACAACCAAGTGTCACCTACAAGGCAGTAGGAGTGGAGTAGGGAGTCCACTATCCATTGGCAGCCGGTGACCGGAGTTCGGTTCATACGCCTTTTTGAATGGGGCCAGACATCCAGGACATCCAACAAGCCCTTTGTCCATACGTCTGCCGGTGAGCTCCAGTGAGCTTCATACGCCAGTTGTTGGAGGTTTGGAGTCAGGGTTTAGCCATCTCCCCTAGACTGTCATCCAATGGACACGGGTCATGAGGTAGAAATCGAGAAATCCTTTAAAATTATCAGTAGACAAAGGAGTTCCATTCTCCTCAAGTTTGCCGAAGCAATTTCTATCAAACGCTTCAAACTAGATTTATTGTGTCCTTGCCCTGGTAACTGAATGTCTTTATTCTCTCATCTGATTACGTAATCTTTGTCTTTAACCTCACCCCCCCTTTATAATCTGTAATTTTGCTTTTCTCTTGTTTCTATGATTTGAGTTGAACTCAGTACATTGTAACCTATCTCTATCATATCCAAATCTTACGAGCGGGAAACGCTTCTCTCTGTTCGAAAGTGGGAAGACTTCGCCAAAAGGCAAGGATCCACCAGAGAACAATTATTCTTTCTCCACGAATGCCTTCGTCATCAAATCCTACCGACCAGTGTAAGATACAAACCACCAGTCAACTGCCCAATGGGATGGAAATTGGCCGAACAATGTGGAAGGCGAATGGTCAAATTAATGATTACAGACGCACATTATCGGATCAAGAAATATCAACAAATAATAGATGTCCAAAAAGAAAAACTAGAGAAAACCCTCAACCAGGAACACCTGTCAACGCTGATCACCGCAATTACATTGTCAAGTAGAAAACACAGAGAACAAAGACGAAGAGTCCTCAAAACCAAGCTAGCCAAGATTAGAAAACAACAACCAGACAATACACCTATAGACTGCGTAGTCAACCTATCAAAACAACCACTATCAAAAATGGAACAACAACTACTACAAAAAGGAATAAACTACAACACCGGAGATGCCTCGAAAACTGATTTCTTCGCTGCTCTTGAATCATTACTCAAATCATCAAAATTAAAGGAGGAAACACAGGAAGAGATACGCCAAACAATTGTACCAATGGTAAAACAGAAAAAACAACACACACAACTCAACTCTCAAGAACTAAAGGCCCTCAAAAAGCTGAAAAATAGGAAGGACATCGTCATTCTACCAGCCGACAAAGGAAGAACAACAGTAATCATGGACGGAGAAGAATACACCAAGAAAGCTGAAGAACTACTCAAAGACGAGGATGTGTATCAACAACTCCCAACAAATCCCATACAAACACTGGACAACCGCATCCAAAGGACCTTAAACAAGCTTACCAAAACTGGACAAATCACAAAACAAGACCAATGGCGAATGAAATCCAGTGAACCAGTCCTACCCCGATTCTACAGTAGACCCAAAATACACAAGCCCGCAAATTAACTATCCAGCTCAGAGAACACAACCACATCAAAATCATCCACCTGAGCTACAAATCTTCTCTATCATATCCACATTGTTACCTAATTTATTAGTCACTCTGTATCTAACGCATCTCTCGTCTTTATTACTTAACTCCTTTACCATTGTATGCATACATTTATTTTGTTTAAACTTGAACTGCCTGTGTAAAAAAACTATATAAGCACAAATTTCTGAGCACTGTTCACTTATTGTGAAACTTTTTGTCAACTGTCAACATGTAAAAAAATTTGCAAGTATGTTAAAACTTTTCTGTACGTAAACCTCAAAATTTATCTAGGCTGTAAACAGCTGATGAGAAGCCAACAAAATAAGCAATGATGGTACCATATTATTCTGCACAAACCACTGTTGTTCTTGCTTTATTCAATATCATCAAGGGGAATAAATGCATGAACTTAACAGAGACGCACACTCACACACAGAATAAATATTCAGGGGGGGGGGGGACGGAAGGATATTAATCATTACAGCAAATCCTTTCAATAGTCTACACTCACCGTTTAAATGTCTTCAAGTCAGCTTCACTAATCCCAAATGAACGTAATAAAGCACGTGCATCACGTAGATGCAGTTTACGCAAATCAGCATCAGTTCCAGTGACAGTACGTTTACCTTTTAATAATCCTCTAGCCACTTCCCCACCGGCTTGTCTAAATAATGCACCAGGTTTAGCTGATGTTTTAGAATAGGAAAAAGCTTCACCACAACCAGTTGGATCAGCAGCTCCGTGTAATTCAAGGAAGCAACCACCACGTTGTGAAGCTAAATACGCTCGTGTTGTATTCCATGGTGCAGCTCTCACCTCATCTTCCATTTTAGGCTTAAAGAGTGTTAGAAACACCGAGAGAGAGAGAGAGAATAATGAAGCATGAATTGAAAATTAAGTGTACAGCAAAAAAAAACAACACACACACAGCTATAGTAAAGTGATAATATAATGCAGAATGAATACAGAATTGTGTCAAGAAAGTGTTCAGTCAAATTATTATTATTATTGTTTCCTTTAATTACTAGAGGAACATAGGGCTTCAGTCGCGCACGTCTCCATTGCGTTCGGTTCTCTGCTAGAGTCTTCACCTGGCTCCAAGTCTGCCCACACGTTTTCATCTCCTCTTCACATGATCAACTCGCCACTTCCCTTTCGGGTTCCACTCGAGCAATGGCTTGTCTAGTGATGTCACTTGATGGTTTGTTCTCTCAGAGTATGGCCAATCCATCTCCATTTCTTCCTGCCTTTTTGTTTCACAATCGGTTCCTGATGGGTTGGTTCGCTCCCAGAGATCCCTCATTATTGCTGATCTCTTCTTGCCATCTGATCTTGAGTGATATTGAGCGAAGACAACTGTTAATGAAGGTCTGTAGTTTGTTTGAGATGCTCTTTATGACGCGCAGTGCAAGTCTCTGATCCGTATAGTAGCACTGACTGACTTCACATTGGAGTTGAAAATCCGGATGTCATTTCTGATGCTGAGTGCTGTTGACCTCCACACAGACTTGAGAGTAGTGAAAGCTTGTCTTGCTTTTCCGATTCTTGCTTTGATATCCTCGTCAATTCCGTCCGCCTGTAGTTGAAACGATGCTTCCTAGGTAGGTAAAAGAGGTTGTTTCTTTCAGGTTCATCCCATTTATGCCGATCGTTGTCTGTTGTTGTTGTTATTGTTGGTGGTGGTGTTGCCCAGGAATCTTTATCACCTCTGTTTTTTCTCTATGTTCACCTGAAGACCACTCTTCTCTGGATGCTTCTTCTGCCAACTTGTCGCTTTTCACTTGCATATCTACCAGTTTGTGGAAAATCAGACATATATCACCATCGGCGAAGTCCAGATCCTCCAAGTGTTTTGTGTGAGTCATTTTTATGCCTGTTTCCTCATTGCCCACTGTTTGTCGCATTATCCAGTTTACTGCAATCAGGAAAATCTTTGGCGATAGTAGGCAGCCAGCTTGTCTTACTCCCGTCTTCATTTCGAAGGATTCCGTAAGTTTCCTGTTGTGGATTACTTGACATGCAGCATTGTCGTACAGCTGTTGGATGAGATGTATAATTGTCGGTGGCACCCTGTATTAGCGAAGTAGTTGCCAAATCAACTCTCGATCGACGCTGTTGAATGCCTTTTCAAAGTCGATGAAGTTAAGATAGAGAGGTGACTGCCATTCCAAACTTTGTTCAATGATGATCCGTAGTGTGGCGATTTGATCAATACATGACTTGTTTCTCCTGAATCCAGTCTGTTCCGGTCGAAGTTTTTCATCCAGGTTGGCTTGTTTGATTCTCTCCAGGATGATGCGGCTTAGTATTTTGCTTGGGATGGACAGGAGCCTAATTCCGTGCCAGTTCTTGTATTGACTTAAGTCTCGTTATTACTTACCTTTATGATTTATTCATCCGGCTATAACAATCAAATTGACTCTCCAAGGATACTTAGGCAATTCTGGATGGATTTTTAACAGTGTCGCTCGTTTAATATTTATGGTTTGAACTGATTTACGTGGAACGGGAGTGTGAGCTACACTTATTACATGTATGGCCTGATAGTATTATTCCGTAGCCCGTGCTAAATTAAGTGAAATGGGACTCGAGCTAGGGACCTATAGACTAAAAATCTAATGCTAAGACCTATGTGAATCATATCTCCAGTGTTCCTGTTAGACTTTATTATTATTATTATTATAAAAATAACGTAGATCGACGCAACAGGCTGACTAACAGACGTGAACAGATAACAAGTGTCAACCTACCTAAGAATGGCCTTATATGCTCGAGGGTGGGTACACTCTGGTCTTCCCCCTCATCATTTGGCTACACGTTCATACCCATTGCCTTCACGCGGTGACGAAACGTAATCTTAAAAAAAGTGAGGAGCAAAGTGACAACATTCGGCGCCTATCCCCGGATTGATGGACATTGAAGTCCACTTTGGGGACTAGGGAAACTATGATGCAAAACCTATTCTGAACAATAAAGTAACAGATTCCAAAAAGAACTAATGTCGTTCTGGTCACTAGGAGACATGGGAATTCACAACTCTTGACGTTGTTGCTCCGCTGCCTTATGAAATAGTCAAACAGTATAATATAAGACAGATAGTATGTAAATTAACAACCTAAAAGGTACTTGGATTAGACATTAACTAGTGTTATGCGTCTCTAGTCTCTAATGAGTTCACCACACTAGGTGACAATCGAAAGGAAGTCCAGTCTCACCTAGGTTTCGTGTTTCTTGGTGGAGTGGAGCGCAGAATATTTCCAAAATGATTTCAGGTTGAAGAAAGCGTATCTTGCCTTTCCGATTCTCACTGGCTGTGGCTGAAACCGTGCTTCCTAGCCGGATAAGTGAAGGCAGGCAGAAATCTCTGTTAAATCTCTCCCGTTGATGGTGATTGGTGCTGGTTGTTGTTGCCGTTGCTGGTGGTGGCGGTGTTGGCTGGTTATCTTCATCTGGATTCTTGCCTTCTCTGGCTGTTTCTTCAGCCAGTTTGTTGTTTGAGTTGATATATCAGTAGTACAGTGTTCGCCAATCAATCACGCATGTACTACCTGTCTGGTGCACTCCTTAAACCTCACTTAGAGGGTAAATAATTTCGATAAAGAGGTAGGGAGGGGGTTAAGCGTGAGGCTAGTTACCTAATAATTCACGTACAAAAAAAACAGCACCAAAGTTACTGAAACTTCAGGATAGCTTCAGCATCATTATCGGCTTTATGCTGCACTCGGAACTCAAAGGAATGAAAAAAAGACAAAAGGGAAGAATTACAGTTACAGTGAACAATCACTAGAGGGGGGTGGGGGTGCGGTAGAGAAACACACTACTGTCACTTACTTGACCTTCTTTATCTTCTTCTTCTTCGCCTTGATTTTCATCCAAAACAAATAGACACTTTTCACCGTAACCAGCATCTTTCAGACGTAATTCAGCCGCCAGCATACTGTAATGTGCACAACAGTCTTCTGGTGAAACAAGATAGCGGACTTCCTCTTCTGATGGTAATCGATAGTCAGAGCGTAGAACCCACCAACTTGCATCAGAACCTGTTATGTAACAACACCCCAAACAGAGGATGCATTCAATTTTCTATTTAAAGTATTCAGCCTTTTTTAAATAACCTTTTTTTATACATAATATATAACCGAACTAGTTGTTCAGTTCAGTGGTAACTTCTGTGACTGTGCCACCGTTGAGCTAGGGTTCGAATCCCTCAAAAAGGACAGCACATGAATTGCTTCGATAGTGACCACAGATTCGCCTTGCTGACGACTGCCAACATGTAAAAAAAAATCTAGGCTGAGGGCTACACCTGTCGATTGGCTGTAATTACCAATTGACGGCGTCAGTTGAAAGTGCACCTCATGAGGGTGAAGCTTAGTGATCATCATACTGAAAAGTTGACTGATAGAATCCAGCCAGCATTCATCATTACAAGTAGAGAATAGGCAATCGGTAGCATTGGCTAGTTTCTTGTGATTGAGTAGTAGCCCATTGAAGAGAGAATAGAGTGATATTACTATGTCTTTAACTAGATAAAGGTGGAGACATGGTTCACTGACTTAAGCAGTCGACTGCCAGTCGTCAGTGGGTTCGTCCCGGGTTCGAATCCCGCCACACAGACTTCAGTTTAAGTAACTGGGTAGCACATCACCAGCCCAACAGATTTTTTTCCGACCGAAAGCTGCTACCTTGACGTGGTGGTCGGGCATGCATATCACAATGATGACCCAACGAGCTATACTGGCTGGAACTTATGTTCCTGTAGGTCCTACCATGCCAGAAAGGTTGTTTGGATAGCGGTTAGACAAAAAGTAGTTACTCAATCCAATACTATGATTCAAACAAAATCACAAAATATCATGCCGGATAGGTCGGGGCCCGGATTAACAACGACCGCGCTTCCTGCTGCCGTGTCACAGGGCAGAAGTGATAAATATGCTACTGAGACACACCAAATGAAAAAGAACAAACAAAAACAGGCCGCGTGTGACCGACCTCAAGCAATTGTTCCCTGGGATCTGCGGTCACGCAACCAGCTTCCACGGTGTGGGCAGCCTGGAAGTAACAATCGCCCTCACAATCCGAATTGCACGCGAGACCTCTCTAATCCTCACTCATCTTTGTCTTCATCTTCATCTCTATTATCTAGCCTTTCTTCTACTAATGCAACTCCTACGTCTACCCCTAGGTTAGTGAAAGGGAGTGAAGTGATAGAACATGTTGACCACTTCACCTATTTGGGAAGTTGTATCAGCACCAAAGGACTGATTGATGACGAAATCTCAGCACGGATCCAAAAAGCTCGGGTTGCTTTCGCTAACTTACACCGTCTCTGGCGTAGGCGTGACATCCGACTATCAACCAAGGCACGTGTATAGTGCTCAGCAGTTCGCTCCGTCCTTCTCTATGGCTCTGAAACATGGCCAATACGAGTTGAAGACATGAAAAGGTTGACGGCTTTTGATCATAGATATCTACGATCTCTTTCTCACGTTAGATGGTATAAAAATAAGATAAGTAATGTTGACGTTAGGTTAGGCGTAGAGTGTTGGGCAAAGAGGGAAAATCAATCGACGAGGCTATAAAGTTACATAGATTGAGATGACTAGGTCACGTCCTGCTCATGCCTAACCATCGCTTCCCCCACCCAACGGGCATTACTAGCTGATATAGGTGCAGGTTGGAAAAGAGTAAGTAGTGGCCAAACAAAAACATCGCATCAATCAATCCATGAAATCCTTGACAGCTAAACTGAGTCATGTACGGAGATGCAGACTTCCAGGTTGGGGCCCGCCCTCGGGACTCTAAGAATCAGTGGTGTCTGGAGACAATAGGTGACATGGCTCAAAATCGTTGTCAATGGCTTACGCAGATGTATTCAGTCTCTTGTGTAATCTTTCATATTCCTTTCTACCATTACTCATTCTGTTTCACCCTTATACTTGTCAAAACACTATTGATTCTCTTCACTCATTTCCCTGTCTACCTTTGTGTGCTATTTGGAACGTGGCAACTGGAACTGCTGCACTTCGGTGCCGAGTTCTATGTTGAATCCAGACAGACAGACATTACCAGCCTTCAAACAATAAGTGTGTCTCATAGACTGGAATATGAAAGACCAGTTCAGTGGACTGAGCTTAATATCCTATTGAGCAATGCAAAATGATATAAGGAAGTAGATCGTAAGGCCATAGACGACTGGTCTACCAGTGCATAAACTGAGAAAGTTATTCTTCAAATGAATGAATGAATGAATGACAGGCTTCAGAAGGCATTTTCGACAATATGTAAAAGAAAACTTCTATGAAGATAATCACTCAACGGGAATCTCAGCGACGACTTTGAAGTGAAGACAGGAGTAAGACAAGACTGCCCATTGCTATCACCCACGATATTTCCTGATTTTGATGGACTAGAGATCATGTGGAAGACCGTAAGTAGGGAGCAAGAAGTCAGATGTGCTTTGGGACTATAAGTAGACTTTAGAGGATCTATACTATGAGGGTGATATTCATGTCCAATGTCATACAAACTTGAAGAACTACAGGCAAAAAGTGACAAATCGGCAGAAGAAGCTGACAGGGAGAGTAGGACTCAAAGAGAACATGGAAAAGACTGAGGTGATGCAGGTGATCACTGTCCGACAACAATAAAAACAAGCATCAATCAGTATCAATGAAAGAGATTTGATGGGAATCACTTATTTCACTTATCTAGGAAGCAGCATCGGATGAGCGAAACAGAGCTTCGTCAACCTGAAATCAGTGTGAAAATCTAACGTACTAATCATCATACAGAACAAGATTCGAATTTTCAACACTGATGTCAGTACTTTCATATGCTTCAGGGACTTAGTGAACGCGTCACCAGACGTTAATCTACAGCTGCCTTCGTACCATAGTAAAGATCAAATGGCTGGCCAGAAAGAGGTAGCAGCAAGGAAATCTAGCAATGAACCGAGGAACAACCCATCGCCTGCCTAACAAGTATTTCAAAGAAAATACGAATGGAAATCGATCGGATACATGCTGAGGAGACTGTTGAGTGACTTTGCGCCACCCCTCCCCAGGCCCTCGAGTGGAACACGAATGAGAAAGGACGAGTTGGCTGTCCATAGGTGATATCGTGCGGGGAGGAGATGAGGGAGTATGGGAAAACGTGGAACCAGATAAAGAGGATTGCACAGAATCGAGCAATATGGAGATGTTCTATTGAAGCCTTATCCTCCACTCCAAACCAAAGGGATTAATAATTAATGGAAAAGTGTAAATAGTTCCTAAACAACTACCATACACTTTTACTTACCCTCATGCGTTCCTATACAGTAATCAATATATCATAAAAAGTAAGTTATTTATTATTTCACTCACTCACTCACTCACTCACTCACTCACTCACTCACTCACTCACTCACTCACTCACTCACTCACTCACTCACTCACTCACTCACTCACTCACTCACTCACTCACTCACTCACTCACTCACTCACTCACTCACTCACTCACTCACTCACTCACTCACTCACTCACTCACTCACTCACTCACTCACTCACTCACTCACTCACTCACTCACTCACTCACTCACTCACTCACTCACTCACTCACTCACTCACTCACTCACTCACTCACTCACTCACTCACTCACTCACTCACTCACTCACTCACTCACTCACTCACTCACTCACTCACTCACTCACTCACTCACTCACTCACTCACTCACTCACTCACTCACTCACTCACTCACTCACTCACTCACTCACTCACTCACTCACTCACTCACTCACTCACTCACTCACTCACTCACTCACTCACTCACTCACTCACTCACTCACTCACTCACTCACTTATGATGAAAAATTATCCAGAATAAATGAACAAAATACTTTTTTTAAAAAGAGACACAGCATACCAGTACGTTTAAAATCAGCACAGATTTTCAATCGTTTCCTGACACTACTTTCTGAATGATTTGGAAAAGCTTTACGAATCTCTTCCATTTTAATACGTTTCGGTTCATCTGTACTACGTAGGAATAAGCGCAGGATGAATACTTGTAGAAAATCACGTACAAAATTGTTAGCACGTTTTGAATTTGGACCAGGGACTTCCATTAGGGGTACTTCTTGACCAACAGTAAATGCATTGGCTATCCGACGTATACTAATCCCATTACGATTACGTATTAATAAGAAATCAGTATTGGAAAGTGTATGCGGATAGATTGGTGCACGATACATACTATTTTCAACAGTCTAAAAGTAAAAATTAGATACGATAACAATTCGTTAATTCTCGCATTCTGCCTATTATTCTCTATTGTTCCCCCTTAGTTTTTCCAGGGTTACTGAAGAAAGACTATAACATATTACGCAGGATGTTAAAGGTTGTCAGCAGGGTAAGCAATGTGCCACTTAACCAACTTGTTAATATTCTGGTCGACAGACAGGCACTTGGACTCATGTGAAAAATGGGCTAAATCCATTTTATCTAACTCACACCACCCTCTTCACTCACAACTCTGCCCTTGCATCTCATCAGGCAAAAAAACCAGAAGCCTATATAGAAAACTATATGTTCGCACCAGCAAGTACAAAAAACTCAACCATACCCTACTTAGCTCGTGTTCTGTACGATAAAGAAAGCATTAGGCGTGACACCTATAATTCATTAAATAGTAAGTGGTACAACTGGATCTCGTCTTTCCAACTAATATCATTTATAGGTACAACATTCTCTTTCTTTTCCTTTTCTCTCTCTCTCTTTTTTCCGTTATGATCTGCTTTGTTTCTTTCTCTCGCTTACGCCAGTTAATAGGACAGCTCCCACTTTTCTAACACCTTCTAACACTGTTCAGCTTTACCTTTGCTACTGACATGCCAATGTATTGTTGTCATAATGAACTGAGATTTCCTTAATCTATGTGGAATTCTATTTATTGATAATGTACTAACTGGATGCAATACTGTAGTGGAAATGCTGAGAATTTCATTCTGTATCACAAGTACTGTTTTGGAATAAAGCAAATTATTATTATTATTAAAGAGAAAAGACAATGAACGATATCATTCTATTCGCTAAAACTGTCCACACTTTCTGTCTCTGAAAGACTTCTCTACTTCAATCTTCAATTCATTGGAGACTCATAGGCAGCAGCAGCATCAGCAGAAATACTGAAAAACCACCTATTCTGCTCATTGAAGAAAACCTACTCCGCAGATGAACTTCAACAAAACTTTCTCCACGAAACCAATGATTCGCATGAACGTGAAAGATAAGCTACCACTGCTGTTCTTATTTCATGTGCATCTATCAATTCACCTGCTTGTGTGGAGCTAGTTATGTCGCCTATACGGTAGGTCTATCCTAGAATACCTGATCGAATCTGGACACCGAGCTTCAAAGTTATCTACAGAATATGTAAGAATCAAGCTTCTTAAAAGTGCAGAAGCACTATGGCAATTCATCACATGTTAAATCTTGAACGCTGTGTATACAAAAGAGGTTTGTGTTCAGTTCATTAAGTGTACAATAGACCTTATTTGTCCTAACAATAGATACGACGCCCTTGTTAACTTGACACTCCTCCAATTTCAGTTGAATTCTACTCAATCCCTTCAATCACATTACGTCATTCAATTTGCTTATTTAATTTTATGGAGGATTTCATGATGAGCTGACATCAGTTGGAGAACCACTGGAAAACCAGCTGGGAGTACTGGACAGCTGTTTTTTCAGCCTCGTTTAGGACTCTTCAGCAGTATGCACCCACCGGGATTGGAACCCAGAACCTTATGGATGGGTGCGCACTGATGAAGACTCCCAAACTAGGACGAAACAGCTATCCAGTACTCCCAGGTTTTCCAATGGTTCTCGAACTGATGTCAGCTCATGATGAAATCCTCCAAGCAATCAAACAAAAATCCCTACAAAACCAATACTTGAATATTTTACTTTAGGTTCTATCCGATTGCCGCTTTATATATATATATATATATATATATATATGCGATTGTACAGCTGGAGAATGAGATCGCTGAAAAGATTAACTCTTCGCCTCTTTTAAAATTAGATAAACTAGTCGACAGACGTATAACACTTAGTGTTACCCAACTGATCTCCATTTAACATAATAATGCCTGGATAAGCGAAAGAATTGACTTCCTTTGATTGTCTCCCGTTGATGGTGCATTATTGGTGCTTCTTCTTCTTGGTGTTGGTCGGGGGGGGGTATCTCTTCATCAACTTTGCCATCTTTCCATGCTCACTTGAACTCCTATCTCTCTGCTGCCTCTCTTTTCAAATTGTCGGTTTTTGTCTGTAGTTCTCCAGGTTTATGTGATACTGGACATAGATCACGCGTAAAGTCCAGATCCTCTGCAGTTTTTCTGTTTTCGATCATAGATGTCTACGATCTCTTTCTCACGTTAGGTAGTATAATAAGGTAAGTAATGTTGACGTTAGGCGTAGAGTGTTGGGCAAAGAGGGAAAATCAATCGACGAGGCTATAAAGTTACATAGATTGAGATGACTAGGTCACGTCCTGCTCATGCCTAACCATCGCTTCCCCCACCCAACGGGCATTACTAGCTGATATAGGTGCAGGTTGGAAAAGAGTAAGTAGTGGCCAAACAAAAACATCGCATCAATCAATCCATGAAATCCTTGACAGTTAAACTGAGTCAGGCAGGGAGATACAGACTTCCAGGTTGGGGCCCGCCCTCGGGACTCTAAGAATCAATGGTGGCTGGAGACAATAGGTGACATGGCTCAAAATCGTTGTCAATGGCTTACGCAGATGTATTCAGTCTCTTGTGTAATCTTTCATAGTCCTTTCTACCATTACTCATTCTGTTTCACCCTTATACTTGTCAAAACACTATTGATTCTCTTCACTCATTTCCCTGTCTACCTTTGTGTGCTATTTGGAACGTGGCAACTGGATCTGCTGCACTTCGGTGCGAAGTTCTATGTTGAACCCAGACAGACAGACAGTTTTCTTATTGATCCAACGTATCTTTGGTTTCTAGCTCCCCACAGTCTTCTGATTGATTAAGTCCACCCAAATAAGGAATAGCATCGATGATAGTAGACAGCCTTGTCTTAGTTCTGTCTTCACTTCAAAGTCATCGCTGAAATTTCCGTTGTGAATTACTTGACACATAGTACCATCATATATATATCTGTTGAATGAAGCTGATAACGGTTTCGGGCACTGTACTTCATAATATTGCAGCGACTTCCAAACTACTTGGCGGCCAACTAACTCTATGCAAGGCTTTTTTCAAAAATCGATGAAGTTGATGGTAGACACAGTTGACTGTCAGTCAATTTTGCTTTACGGATCAGAAACTTGGCGGGTCACCAAGAATATTTTCAACAGGTTGCAGACCTTTATCAACAACTGTCTTCGCTCCATACTGAAGATTAGATGGCCAGAAAGAATCACAAACAAGAAGCTATGGGAACAAACGAAACAGGAACCAATCGCCCAACAAATATGCAGGAGGAAGTGGAGATGGATTGGACACTCGCTGAGGAGGCCGTTGAGTGACATCGCGCGTCAAGCCAGTGCTCGAGTGGAACCCGAAAGGGAAGCGGCGAGCAGTGGGACGTCCAAGGGTGACATGGAGGAGATCGTGTGAGGAGGAGATGAAACAGTATGGAATAACATGGACGCAAGTGAAAAGAACAGCACAAGACAGAAGCAAGTGGAGACGTGCAGTTGAAGCCCTATGTTCCACTAGGAACCCAAGGGAACAATAATAATAATAATAATAATAATACAGTTGACTGTCATTCTAATCCCTGTTCAAGGATGATGCGTAACGTCGTAATTTGATCCGCACATGATTTACTTTCCCTGAATCCAGCTTGTTCGGTAAGGTTGGAGAGAGGGTTACATCCAGGTATATGAAAGTTCATTTTCACTTATGACAGCTGGTGGTACTAAGCAGTCACCTTTACACTGAAGCAGGCAGAGAGGAGTCCAAACAACAAACTCATGAAGGTGAGATTGTTAAAAGTTAAGCGTGGAACTTCGATAACAACACTTAAAGTGTGCATCTCTATTTTCCTAGTTTGACTTCTTGAAAAGTCGATAATAATAAACTAGCTTCATTTGACCTAAACTCATCATGAACGACCCAGGTATGGCAGAAGTTCGGTTAACTCCAGTCCTCCTCTCGAAATGCCCTGACATATGTCCACACATTCATACCCTCTGTCAGATAAATCCTATTCATCACCATCATACAATTGAGACCAGTTTTTTTCTCGAAAGAAAAAAGGCTAATGTGGATGTTTGGCGATGAAGGTCCATCTGGGCCGGCTGGGAAACCCCGATCCCAAACCTATGTGGCACATGAACTACAAAATCCAAAGAGATCGCACCACGTATGAGCCTCTTTCAGTCACCAGAAACCATGGGAATGGCACCTATTGACATCGTTGTACTGCCTTGAAGATCAAACTTCAAACACCAAAGGCTTAGGGAGTAGTTCGTCAAGACAACTACCTGCCCCAGTCTCAGAGTCAAGATAACACTTCAGACCTCATATAAATTATTGAAAAAAGTGAGTGATGTTCAGTTTGTGCTTATAATCATGTAAAAGAAATAAACGCTGAAGCCAGTAAAAAATCTTTGTTGACTGCTAAGTCAATCATGTAGCAGATGTCGACTCTGAGATTGGCTACACACAATATTCTTGTCATACCGACAGTAATTCATGTAGTATTTATCCTTGTCCTCTAATCAAATTCGTCACCAATTTCAAAGAACATTTGAATATTCATTACAAGTAAAAAAGCCGTATAATTTTCTTCCCCAATAACTTAGATTGGTGTAAGAGAGAATCCGATCGGGTCACAGCTCATCACTACTTATTTACACGACAGCTAGAAAAAAAAACTCTCAGAGTTTGAAGTGAAAGTGAGATGTGGTCAGCTACTAGGTCTAACAGCTTAACCAATACAAGGCAGATCACTATTATTATTCCCTTGGGTTCCCAGTGGAACATAGGGCTAGCTTCAACAACACATCTCCCCACTCTGTTCTATTTTCTGCTCTCCTCTTCAGCTGGGTGACCCCACGACTGCCCACAATCTCTCATCTCCTCCAATTCACACGATCTCCTTCATATCATCCTTGTAGTGACGACCCACTCGTCATTTCCCGTTGGGGTTTCACTACTCAGTGACCCGGAGTACGATGTTATTCAACGGCCTCCTCAATGTATGCCTGACCCATCATCTCCAGGCCAGATTTCAGTTTCTACCGTCTAATTATCACTGCGTGTGCGTCGGTGGTTCAGCGGTAAAACTCTCGCCAACCACACACGTGGTCCGGAGCACGCCTTTACACCTTCCTTAGCTGATTATAAGCCCGACAAAGAGAGGGAAGGTTGGGCGTGAGGCTAGCAGCCCCACCCTATTCCCATTATGGAAAATACCACTGCCGCTACTGAAACTTTAAGGCTCAAGCCTGAAGCTCTTTATGTTCCACTGGAAAAGCAAAAGGATTAAAACAAAAATTATCACTGTATCATTAGTAATACCGAGAAGTATTAATCACAATTTGAATTACCTGTAAACAACCACCGGGTCGAATAACTCCAAGAAATGGACTATCAGAACCTCCAACGTAAACAAGTGAACCATACGGTAGTTCAGGTGGTTCATTGTAAGCATGTGGACATGGTGAAAGGGATCTATCTCTTGGCACTAATGGACGATAGTAGTTTATTATTCTTGTAGCCATACCAACCTGCGAAAATGAAATATATATATATATATATATATATACATCATCATATAATAATTACTGATATTTACACAAATACATGAATTATAGGAGATATTTGTCAATGATGTTGCCGAGTGTTTAACTACGAATGCTAACTGATGGATAATGAATGCTTGATAATTCCCGGGTCAGTTGTTCCCTAACCCGACACCAGAAGACTCTCTTACACAGTAGGCTTGGAAACATGTATTTCCACAACACTGGGGGGGGGGAGAGAGAGAGAGAAAGTGACCAAGAGTACAAAAAATATACGACAATTACTGATGGCATGAATTCCTGATTTGATTTTTCTAACCCTACTCCCTTCGGTATATTTTTTATCGCACCGTTTAAATTGTATGTATTTGATGCTGATTCGATGAACGTGCGTCGGTGGCACAGTGGTTAGGACTCTCGCCGACCATGCACATGGTCCGGGGTTCGAACCCCTGCCGGCGCACACCCGATATCTATGGTCGGCCTGAATTTGGGCTACCGATATCCATGCTGAAAATTCCACACTTGTACTGAAAATACGGTGTGGAATCAAGCTGTAAATCAAAATAAAAAATAAAATAAATATACTCGGTCTGTCTGTCTGTCTGTTTTCGACACAGAACTTTGCACATATTTGCGGCAGCTCAAATCGCCACACTCCACTACTTGTAGCACACAAAGCAAGAGAAGAAAGTAGGACCCCAACCAGGAAGTCTACACATCCCTATGTGGCTTAAACTAACTGTTGTAGATTTCATTGACTGGTGGGGCCATGTTTTCGTTTGGCCGCCGCTAGCTCTTTTCCAGCCTGACCATATATCAGCTAACATTGTCCATCGAGGAAGGCGATGACTAGGCATACGTAACACATGTCTTAACCATCTCAGTCGATGTAATTTCACAGCCTCGTCGATTGATTTCCCCTCCTTACCTAGCACTCGATTGAGGCCTAACCTCAATATTGCTCACCTTATTATACCACTTCACACGGGAGATAGAATGTAGACACTTATGATCAAAGACAGTTAATCTTTTCATGTCTTTCACTCTCAATGGCCACGTCTCGCTCACAGCCATAAAGGAGAACGGAGCGGCCTGATGAGCAGTACACACGCCCTTTGGTCGACAGTCGGATGTCACGTCTACGCCAGAGACGGCGTAAACCGGCATATGTGAAACTAGCCCTCTGTATCCGTGCTGAGATTTCATCAGAGATCAACCCGTTGGGGCTGATGGTACTTCGCAAGTAAGTGAAGCGGTCAACGTGCTCTACTCGGTGATGAACAGTAACTCTCTCCATCGAATTATAATGGTTTTGAATACATTGGATACCTTATTCTATCTACCCCCTATGGTGTGATTCTTCCATGCAAAGCAAATGCAAATGCATTGCAATAGTCAATCTATTCTCTCAAGATTACTCAACACAACCTCAGGGGAGGGGATCACTAGATCATTCTAGATCTAGTTACATTCCAATATATTCCGATAATCTAAATAACTCCAATCCACTAGTGTTTGTCCTGCGCAACTCATTTCACAATCATTTTTACAGGATTGATGATCACGAGCCGACATTAGTTAGAGAACCATTGGAAAATCACCAGGGAGGAGTACTGGCCGGCTGTTTCCTCCTAATTTGGGACTCTTCAGTAGTACACACCCACAACCAGGGCTCGAGCCCAGGATCTTCTGGTTACAAGGCTAGCGAGCTCATAAACCATTCAGCCTCTG